TTAAACTATAGTGAATAGTTTTAGTGCATACATTACAGACGAGGTTGAAGAAGAATCAGAATGACAGCAGTGGTCATCAAAGAGTTTAGTGAAGGAATGTTTCAATGTGGTTGTGTGTTGTTTGTCTTCCTGTATTAACTCTTCACAGATATCGAGCCAGAACTAGGATGATGGAATCTCCCCAGTCCCGTCACCCAGAGAATATTGAAAGATTGTGACCTATTGGTTAATATAGGTCAAAAGAGGGACTGACGAATATCCACAAAATGCTGCACATCAGACAAAGGAATATGCACTCAGGAATCATAGAGATGACCAGCTTACAAAACCAGACAATTATTGACTCCAAGAATAAACAAATGCTCTCTCCCACTCTCGACGAGGGCAAAAGTCCAACACAATCAGGCGCCCAGTGGTGGGGGGGCATTGTTTGCTCAGGTGGAGATGGAAGACCGGGTCCAGACCAGGACCAGGGGCCAGACCAGTCCCAGATCTGTGACGTCATCGGACCCTTTGATAGAAACTGCTGGGAGGAGATTGGCAGTCAGTCAGACGAGGGCAAGAGAGGGACATGGATTAGCTTTTAAGAGCTCTCTTTTGTTGAATATTCTGTATCTGATTGTAAAGATAATTAAATGCAGATGTTAAACTTGGAGAATCTTTTTGTCTGATTTCTGTATCAAATTGTGGACACGTCAGCCAAAGGGAATTATTGGCTACACATATAATATTTCTGTGTGTGCAGCAGTAACAGTTAGTAAGAGTAGATTATTTCTTCATCTCTATGGATCTTACCTCATACATTTTACAATAAGAAAATAAAAGTAATGTTTGTGTTTCATAATTTGCCATTTACATAAATTCAAATAAAATGAATGACTTTAAACAAAAAATATTGTAAGTAAGTAATCTTTATTTATATACCGCCTTTTCACTACAGACCAGAGTCACAAAGCGGTTAACAATTGTTATTTTTTAGCATTTGTCTCTCACTCCACACAGAGATGGGAGCGGGGCCAGTACAGGAGGCACATGCCAGACCCATTGTACATATTTTTAGTGGTAGGGGAAACCGGAGTACCCAGAGGAAACCTACGCAGACACGGGGAGAACATGCAAACTCCACTCAGAAAGGCCCTGGTCAAACCGGGATTCAAACCCAGGACCTTCTTGCTGAGAGGCGAGAGTGGTATCCACTCAGCCACCGTGCCGCCCATCCACACCACAGAAGGATCACATAAGGACATAAAACAATGTGAGGGGGGGGGCAGGCTTGTTATGAAAAAAAACCCCATCTCTACACTTAACACAGTGCAACAACAACAATAACAAATAAAAAACAGGATGGATTTAAATCATAGGCTGTAAATGGAGAACGTTTGTGATTGTTTTTGTTGCTTTTGGATGATTTGAAGGATGAGTATATTTCTTTTATAGATTAATTTCGTTTTGATATGTTGAAGAATGGTTTTCTATTTAAAAATGTTGATTTGTGTGTGTGGAATATGCCCAGAATGATTTTAACTGCGTATTTACAGTCTTGCGTGGATCCTTGCGTCATTACGTCACAGGACAATCCGGAAGCGCTAGTCAGTACGTGGCCTTTTCAGCTTCTCTTTGCGGAACTGGACCAAACACTGACTCCAAAATGGTAATATTCACGTCCCTACTGCTGTCAAAACAACCCGCTGCTGCTCTGTATCAGCATGGATTATATACCAGCCCTGGATTTTAGCATTATAGCATCGGCTGTTGTCAAAATGCTAAAATATCCTGGAAATACACTGCAAGCTAGTCGTGCACAATGCTAACCTACAGCTGTATTACTCTTATAGAACTCATGGAAACGACACATCCATTGCTTGTTCTGCTCCTTTATTCTGTCTGTGGCTGCAGGAACTGGAGGCCATGACCCGGTACACCAGCCCCGTGAACCCCGCGGTGTTCCCCCATCTGACTGTGGTGCTGCTGGCCATCGGGATGTTCTTCACCGCCTGGTTCTTCGTGTATCCTTAAAAAACTATTAGACAAAAAAAAAAAAAAAAATGTCATGAGTGAAGCGGGTTTATAATATACGGGGATTTTATTTTATTAGTTTAATTGACAGGGACTTTGTGCATTAATAATCTTTGTGCATTCATCTGTAAATGCACTAAAACAAGACAAGAAGGATATTGTTCATCTTTAGTTCCTGGCCAGTAAAACACAGACATTCGGGGAGAACATAAAAAAACATACATCACATTATTAAAAAAAATTATAACAGAACCACAATATGAAGAAGAGCAGAGTATGAAGGAAACGTGTTTGTTACTCTCGTTCTGTATTTTGAATAATAATAATAATAATAATAATAATGTTTTATACAGACCTTTTTGGATAATCCTTGTCTCTTCACATAATTATTAATTCATTTCAAACACAGTCATGATAAACTACTACTGTAGCCACAGCTGCCCTGGGGCACACTGACAGAAGCGAGGCAACCAGTCTGTGCCATCGGCCCCTCCCACCACCACCAACCATTCACACACACACCAGACTCATTCTAATGTGGGGGAAGTGTCTTGCCTAAGGACACAACCACAGTTTGGCACTTTACAGCCGCAGCCGCCCCACTGTGGCACCTGCTGTTCCCAGAGTTTAATTCTGTGACCGTGACTTGTTTTAATCTAAGTCGTGTCGATGTTTGTTCCTGAACCGAGGTCAGTTATGAAGTGACGTCGACAAAGTACACGAGAGACGTTTACAAGGAGCTGCTCATTTCACTGGTGGCCTCTCTCTTCATGGGCTTCGGAGTCTTGTTCCTGCTGCTCTGGGTCGGAATCTACGTATGAAGGTAAACACCAGAGATGCTTTAGAGGTCACGCCACAAAACTGAGAAAACAAAACGTGATTCTCGAGTCTGCAGCAGTTCTCCTCCATGTTCTGAAAAGTAAAACCCACAATAAAGACAATTTCAATACTGACTTAGCCTGGTCTTACCACACCACTGTACTAATTTCATTTCGAACATGTGGGGAAATAATAATTGACCAGAGTTTACGGATGGCTAAGGCTAAAACTGATCCAAAGTTGCACATGACTAATGGAAAATCCTTTGAGAGCGTCTGCTGTAATTATTATTTTGATAATTGTTATTTATTTAGTTTAGTGATTTATTCTCTGGAATTATTGATTTATGTATTGTACAAGTGGCTGTAGACCCAGGACTGAGGCTGTAGACCCAGGACTGAGGCTGTAGACCCAGGACTGAGGCTGTAGACCCAGGACTGAGGCTGCAGACCCAGGACTGAGGCTCTAGACCCAGGACTGAGGCTGCAGACCCAGGACTGAGACTGTAGACCCAGGACTGAGACTGTAGACCCAGGACTGAGGCTGTAGACCCAGGACTGAGGCTGCAGACCCAGGACTGAGGCTGCAGACCCAGGACTGAGACTGTAGACCCAGGACTGAGACTGCAGACCCAGGACTGAGGCTGCAGACCCAGGACTGAGGCTGCAGACCCAGGACTGAGGTTGTAGACCCAGGACTGAGGCTGTAGACCATAGGTGTCAAAGTCAAGGCCCGGGGGCCAGATCCGGTCAGCGAGACTATTTCCAGTGGCCCCTGAGATGATTTTAAAATATATTAAATAGCTGCATTGATGGTAATAGGTGACAATGGCATGTTCTCCATCACTAAGTTTCTCAAGAAAACAACCATAAAATATTATTCTATACGAAATGTTAAACCAACATGTGATTAGAAGTTAGTTTTGTTTTTAACGAGTCTTTAATTACATTTCGTCTTAAAGATGTGAAGGAGGGTTTCCCAATTTTCTTAGGAAAGAACCGCCCTCTCCACTTTTTTGAACAAATCCAGAATGATTGACAGTTGGGAGGACCAATCGTCTTGATGATCCACCCGGAAGTAGAAAATCTTCCGATATACTTCAATATTTGGTCCAGTTTTGGTTCTGTCCACAGGAACTGAACTAAGTCTAATGAGAAAAGAATGTCCAATCTAATGTGAAACAAGTCATTTACTTTGAAACCTTCATAATATAAAAAGTATAATAAGTCAAACCCACTTATTCTTTCGGCCCCTGACCAGCCCTTTTATTTATTCAGCCCTCAACCAAAATAAGTTTGACGCCCGTGTTGTAGACCCATAAACCTCCATTGAATGAGCCACAGCCTGAGATTTTGCTGAACGTCTTCTGCTGCTTCTATATTTTAGAACAGTTTGTTTTAATAAAGTAAAAAGGTTCTGTCTCCTTGTTCTGCGTCCGTTGCTTTGATGTTTCCATAACTGATGCTTTTCTCCAGGTTTAGTTTCTTGAAGACTTTCCAGTGGAAAGGATGACATCATGATGACATCACTGAGGCTGCTGTGGGATCAATCGGACTGACTTTTTTTGTAACAAAATAAAAAGACAAAAAATTGAGTTTTTGACCAATTAATGTTGATACGAACAGAAAATACACAAAAACTAATGTTCAACGACTTCTAAAAATCTCTGGGCCTGAAATAAGACACTTGTTTAAACCCTTTGTAAAAATAGTTTTAATCGTACTAAAGTGAGACAAGTTTTTTTAAATAACCATCTATTTTTAGCTTCCTAAATGGCCCTTAACACCACAATCCTCCATTAATCTGCCTCACTGCAGCAGACGCTGACCTCGTCTGGCTCACCTCAGATTACACCAGGATAATGCACGCATTTAATAATCAATAACTCACTACAAAATACAAAAGTGATCATTAGACACAATAAGGCAAATGTAAACCCAAAACAAATCTATAAAAACAGACTAAATATGAAACACTTTTTTTCTGGTGAAATGAAATGGTTTGTTTCAGTTTAAAGCTGAAATATCTGTCTCTAAAGAGTTTCTGTTGAGGCCACTCTGGAGGAGGCTGCACAGAGCCCGCTGCTTTTCCAAAGTCAGAATAATATATAAATGTATATTTATACATATATATGTATGTATATATACACACATATATACTGTGTCTTATTCTCGAGCTTTGGAGAAAGCTTCTCGCAGCCACAGCGAGTCCTCGTAGAGCCGCGGGTCTCCCATCAGCACTGACGTGCGCTTGTACAGGTAATAATACAGCACAGCCACTGTGAACAAAACACACATTAGAATAATATATGTTAAATATATATATATATGTAAATATACACCTGTTCTCTGGAACACAAACAGAGCCTGGAGACCATCCGTCCACACAAACCGGTTTGATTCCATCCACCTCAGATTCTAAAGAGATAAATGTATAAATAACTAAAGACACAAAGGAAAAGGAGCAGGTCAGAGACCGTGAGACGCACCAGGAGCCAGCAGTGGAGGCAGATGCTGAGGGTCAGATATAAAGAAGCAAAGACCATGAGAGCTCTGAAGCGCTCGATCAGCAGCGACACCAGTCCCACCTGGAACACGTATGTGTTGAACATCATGAGCAGAATGATGATCATGTTGAAGAGGATGTCGATGTCCTGGATGCTGCAGCAGAGAAGACTCATGACACAAAGCTTTACATCTGAAACCATCAAACCAGTGACACCAGTGACACCTACATGAACAGCACCAGCTGGATCACAGGAGCTGCTCTCAGGAGCTCACTGAAGGAGTTTACGAACAGGTCAAAGGCCAGAAGCGTGATCTGCAGCAGCAGCACCAGGCTGTAGTTTCCAGTCTGCAGCATCTTCAGTGTTTAAAGAACAACCAGGACTTCAGCAAACAGTCATTATTGAACCATCTTCAGTCCAAAAGGCCCCGACAGTGGACAGACCCATCCTCCTGTGTCTACAGAGCCACACAACCACAGACTGTAACTGCGTAAAGACAGAAACAACACATATGACGTTAATCCAGGATTGTCCCTCACAAACAAACAAACTGTTCGGGGAAGTATAAAAGCTCGCAGTTTGGATTAGCTCATAATCTGCGCATCACAGTTTTGCTGCTGACGAAATTAGAAACAAGCAGACACAGATTTTAGCTCAAACTATCTTAGTCTTAGTTCACACTTCACAGAGTAATAATAACATGAGTTTTACTGCAGAAACACACTCTTATAACGCTAATAATAAAGTTAAATAAAGTCAGATTACCCACACACACGGAGGTCCGCAGAGCACTACACAACACTACACAACATTACACAACACTACTTATTCACAAAGAGACTGCAGAAGCTTCGACTTGTGGCTTTTTGCAGAGATTGGTTGTATTTCCGTCAGTTCCATAGTAACGCGGCTCTTTACCGTAAGTGAGAGGGTAGTGTCGCAGTCCACGTGGAAGAGACGCACGAGGGTAATGAGGAAAAGAGCGCGCGCGGTTCTGTTTCTCTTGTTTACACTCGACTTTACGGTACACGGCTTTATCCAGAGGGCTCCAGATCAGCAAGAGAGCAACCCGCGAACAAGTCATGGGAAAAAGTATAAACATAGCATGTGGAAGAAAGGCAAGTTTATTTGTATAGCACAGTTCATACACAAGGAAACTCACATTTCATTAAAAAGAGTGAAGATACAATCCTTCAGTTGTTGCAGCTAAACAGACATGAATTTAACCTGGATTTGATCACAGAATCAGCCTGTCTCACTTTTTCGGGAAGCCTGTCACAGATTTTAGCTGCATAAATCTGAAATGTTGCCATCTCATGTTCGGTCCTGACTCTGGGACCAGCAGGAGGCCAGTACCTGTGCTCCTCAGAGACCCAGCAGGAGGCCAGTCCCTGTGCTCCTCAGAGACCCAGCAGGAGGCCAGTCCCTGTGCTCCTCAGAGTTGGTTCATATGTCACTAACAAGTCATAGATTTTATTTTGTGCGAGGCCATGGAGAGTCTATTGTGTGTATGTATGTATGTATGTATGTGTGTATGTATGTATGTGTCTATGCTAATGTGACTATACCGGTTTATATATATGTATACCAGATGTGTTATATTCCAGTTATCTTATAGTTTGCGCTGAAACTAAAAAATAAAACCTGAAATCTCCAAGTGGCTACAAAGCCTCAGATCTGGCACCCCAGGCTGGCGCGCGCTGCTGCCCTCGTGCGGCACCTGTCACCTCGCACCTGTCTCTGATCAGCGGAGGTAAGACTTTCACAAACGCTTTTAATTCTCGCATTCTACAATAAATCTATTGTTCTTTCTGTTTTGTTTTGTGTTTTAATAATACTTTCAGTCTGTCTTAAGATCAACAAATCCAACTGCTTTAAAAAAAACTTTTTGAGAATTCCTATGGTTTTTAGCTAATAACGCTAGTACCGCTTTTTACTATGTTATTAGCATGTTATTAGCATGGACGGTCATTAGCATGGACTGCCATTAAAAAAACATGTTATTCTTTGAGCTAGTTGGGATTTTATCTTTATCTACTCAGCTCTAAAGTTCAAGGCCTGTCTTTCACAGATAATATATTTACTTTTAGCTGCTGTAACACTTTCTCCTCCAATGGGACTAGTCTGTGTTCTGTTTGACCTTTGCTGTGGGAAAGCAGACGCTGGTTAGATATAAATTATCTCCTGAGTTATAAGGAAGTTCACACTGGGATCTTAATGTCGGAGTTTAATTGACCCCACAGACAAATCCACGTGTTAAAATCTCTTCATAAAGTCTGTGTCAATCCAGGATCTATCTCTTTGTATCGGAGAAAAGATTTGTTTTACTTGAATTTGTTTACAATTATGCAAAAGGTCTCTTTTGCATCTGCACTGAGGTGTGTACAGCTGCGTCACGTGACTTTGTGTTCTTTTCTGTATTTACACATCCTGGTGAACACTTCACTCATCCTATATGCACACACATAGATAGAGACACACACCGACACACACACACACACACACATAGAGAGACAGACACAGAAACAAACACACAGAGACCTAGACACACACACACACTGACACACATAGACACAGAGACATGGACACAAACACACAAAACTTTTGCTGGTTGTTGTTACATAGTGGTTGCTGGTTGTTACATGGTTGTTGCTGGTTGTTACATGGTTGTTGCTGGTTGTTACATGGTGGTTGCTGGTTGTATTCCTGGTCCTGAGACTGAAGCAGCTGTAGATTAAGTGTTCGCTCACAGGTCGCTCCGTGTTTAACAAAGGAGGAACCAACTCCAGAACCCAGGACTGAGGCTGTAGACCCAGGACTGAGGCTGTAGACCCAGGACTGAGGCTGTAGATCCAGGACAGAGGCTGTAGATCCAGGACTGAGGCTGTAGACCCAGGACTGAGGCTGTAGACCCAGGACTGAGACTGTAGATCCAGGACTGAGGCTGTAGATCCAGGACTGAGGCTGTAGATCCAGGACTGAGGCTGTAGACCCAGGACTGAGGCTGTAGACCCAGGACTGAGGCTGTCAATCCAGGGCTGTAGACCCAGGACTGAGGCTGTAGATCCAGGACTGAGACTGCAGATCCAGGACTGAGGCTGCAGATCCAGGACTGAGGCTGCAGATCCAGGACTGAGGCTGTGGACCCAGGACTGAGGCTGTAGACCCAGGATTGAGGCTGTAGACCCAGGACTGAGACTGTAGACCCAGGACTGAGGTTGTAGACCCAGGACTGAGGCTGTAGACCCAGGACTGAGGCTGTAGACCCAGGACTGAGGCTGTAGACCCAGGACTGAGGCTGTAGATCAGGACTGAGGCTGCAGATCCAGGACTGAGGCTGCAGATCCAGGACTGAGGCTGTAGATTCTCTTTTAGGTTGTTTCTTGTTATAACTACTCTACAAATACTATAATTTAGATAGAGCTATTTTTGGTCCTAAACAAGGCCCAGAAAAGTCCTGTTTTAGACCTGGCTCGGGTCTAGGTCACATGATCAGTTAATGTTTTAGATCTTGTCTGCTGCATGTTTTTAACCTAGTGTTTAAACAAATCCTCACCTTCTTTGAGATATGGATGACTCTACTCAAATATCATAAATCCATGTTTTATTTGTGAAGTGAATGGGTGCAGTAAAATAATCTGTAATAAGTTATGAATTACTTTAGTAGAAAGTCTGGATAGTCACAATGGTCAAACTATAAAAAGGTCAAATAGAGAATCACCTTCTGTCTAATGCTTACTGGGTCTACAGCTTCAGTCCTGGGTCTACAGCTTCAGTCCTGGGTCTACAGTCTCAATCCTGGATCTACAGCCTCAGTCCTGGGTCTACAGCCTCAGTCCTGAGCTGTAGACCCAGGACTGAGTGAAATGCCCAGGTTTAAATACTGAGGTGATGAGTGATGAGTGGCAGGTGTGTAGGCCAATCAGGAACAGGGAGTAGGATCCGCCCACAGCAGCAGGAACACAGGGAGCTCAATACCATAACAATAAAGAAGACTTGCTTACATCTTTTTGAGGCTGTGAATAATACAAATGGGACAAAGCTCGATCCACAAAATGATTTCAGACCTGTTTGTTTGTGTATATTGTCCCTCCCACATCAGAGCCGACTTATACACTGAATAAATGAATATAAATGAATATGTTTTGTGATTGCAGTGAAATGTCCAGTTGGCTGGAGTTCAAGGAGGTGCTGGTGGGACAGGGTAGTGGTGAAGCTGTCACCCCCAGCCCCAGACTGAGGGCCCCTCCGGTCAGCAGCCCCAGGGCCAGATGGGCCCCGCACCGGCAGCAGAGGCCCCTGAGTCCACCAGAGGGGCTCATGGGAAAAGCCAAAGAGCTGTTCGAACTCTGCGACAAGGAGGGCAAGGGCTTCATCACCAAACGGGACATGCAGGTCACTACAGCACAGGACTGAGGCTGTAGACCCAAGACTGAGGCTGTAGACTAGGACTGAGGCTGTAGACCCAGGACTGACCCAGGACTGTGACTGTAGATCCAGGACTGAGGCTGTAGATCCAGGACTGAGGCTGTAGACTAGGACTGCGGCTGTAGATCCAGGACTGAGGCTGTAGACTAGGACTTAGGCTGTAGACCCAGGACTGAGGCTGTAGACTTGTGTCCTGTTTCCTTGGAAAAAGTCTAAACTGAAAATATAAAAGTTTTCTCTAGAGAAAGGACTGGAGCAGTGTGTTCTGTGGTATAACAGCGCCCTCTGGAGGTGGTTGACTGCTACTGCTGTGTTGTGTGCAGAGACTTGAAGGAGAGCTACCTCTGTCCCCGGAGCAGCTGGAGACGGTGTTTGAGAGTCTGGACCGAGAAGGGAATGGTTTCCTGACTCCTGTCGAGTTCAACACCGGCCTCGGTGAGACACGGATTAAATATGTTTATTAAATGTTTTATTAAATATGTTTATTAAATGTTTATTAAATATGTTTTATTAAGTGTGTTTATGCTGGTTTTACTCTTTTCTCTCGTTTTTCTGAGATGAACGTCTCTCATTTACAACATTTAACTGATGTTGTGAAGGCGAAGGAGTTTGGAAAGAGTTTAACTTCTGCCTCCTCCTTTTTGAGGAGAGAGGAGGCGAGAGGGGGGAAAGAGGAGGAGAGAGGGGGCTGAGAGGAGGAGAGAGAAGGAGAGAGGGGGCAAATAGGAGGAGAGAAGGAGAGAGGGGGCAGAGAGGAGGAGAGAAGGAGAGAGGGGGAAAATAGGAGGAGAGGGGGCAGAGAGGAGGAGAGAGAAGGAGAGAGGGGGCAAAGAGGAGGAGAGAAGGAGAGGGGGCAGAGAGGAGGGGAGAGAGGGGGCAGAGATGAGGAGAGAGAAGGAGAGGGGGGCAAATAGGAGGAGAGAAGGAGAGAGGGGGCAGAGAGAGAGGAGGAAAGAGGAGAGGAGGAGAGAGATGAGAGAGGGGGCAGAGAGGAGGAGAGAGAAGGGGAGAGGGGGAAGAGAGAGATGAGAGAGGGGGCAGAGAGGAGGAGAGAGGGGACAGAGAAAGGAGGACAACATTTTAAATTATACCTGGAACTAGAGTTGAGCCAAACATGGACAGATCACGATTATTGAGACTGGAATTAAAATGTAAAAAGACACAGAATGTGGTAATAACATCAGAATGTGTTTCTACTACAGATAACTGCAGTATTTTGGGTTTAGCTTCACCTGTAACTTTCGCTATTATTAATACTGAGATTCTCCAACATTACAGCTGTTGAGTTGTTTACATTTTGTGATTTCTGGCTCTTCATGTCTGTGATTGACACCTTCTCAGGAGAGATGGGAGCTTTGGAGCAGAACGTGGAGGACACCGAGCCGGAGCTGGAGGACTGTGACCAAACCGACAGCTCCCATGATGCATCAGCGCAGCGGTTTGTAAACACGCTGTCAGAACTGGGAGCAGACGGACTCTACAGGAGGTACCTACTCAAGACACACACCAGAATCATTAAAAACATAGTAAAAAATATCATTTGTGGGTTGGTGACCTGCATTACTCCTTCAGGGATCAAAGTTTCTAGTAGTTTATCTTTTCTACAATCTGAGGCAAATCATGGACTTTTTCTTTATTAACAATCCGATTTTTTGATTATGATGCTGAGTCTCTAACACACTACTCCCATCATGAGTCGATATTGATGATCCAGGACATCAGTGGGAATTGGTGAAACAACGGCTGTTGTTATGGCCGATTGTTATGGCCCGCTGTTATGGACCGTTGTGTATGGGCCGTTGTTTTGGCCCATTGTTATGGACCGTTGTTATGGCCCGTTGTTATGGCCCGTTGTTATGGCCCGTTGTTATGACCCGTTGTTATGGCCCTTTGTTATGGGCCGTTGTTATGGGCCGTTGTTATGGACCGTTGTTATGGACCGTTGTTATGGATCGTTGTGTATGGGCCGTTGTTATGGGCCGTTGTTATGGCCCGTTGTTATGGACCGTTGTTATGGCCCGTTGTTTTGGGCCGTTGTTATGGCCCTTTGTTATGGGCCGTTGTTATGGACCGTTGTTATGGACCGTTGTTATGGGCCGTTGTTATGGCCCGTTGTTATGGCCCGTTGTTATGACCCGTTGTTATGGCCCTTTGTTATGGGCCGTTGTTATGGACCGTTGTTATGGACCGTTGTTATGGATCGTTGTGTATGGGCCGTTGTTATGGGCCGTTGTTATGGCCCGTTGTTATGGACCGTTGTTATGGCTCGTTGTTTTGGGCCGTTGTTATGGGCCGTTGTTTTGGCCCGTTGTTATGGGCCGTTGTTACGGGCCGTTGTTTGTATTTGTATTTATTTGATCTCCATTAGTTGTAACAAGTACATCTATTCTTCCTGGAGTCAGTCCAGCATGCTGGTCACAAAACATGTTTTACACCAGTTTTCACCAACAAGTGATACAATTGTACAAGTGTTACGGGCCGTTGTTTTGGCCCGTTGTTATGCACCGTTGTTATGGGCCGTTGTTATGGACCGTTGTTATGAACCGTTGTTTTGGCCCGTTGTTATGGATCGTTGTGTATGGCCCGTTGTTATGGCCCGTTGTTTTGGGCCGTTGTCATCAGTCGTTGTTATGGGCCGTTGTTATGGGCCGTTGTTATGGGTCGTTGTTATGGGTCGTTGGAAGGGCCGTTGTTATGGACGGTTGTTAGGGGGCGTTGTTATGGACCGTTATTATGGACCTTTGTTGTGGACCGTTGTTATGGACGATAAATGTGTGTTTTTTTCTCATGCTTATATTGTTAGAATTTCTTTCTGCCCAAATTGACAGTTTCTGTGATGTCTTTAGAGATTCAATTCAATGTATTTTTCGTCTCGCCTTAAATCACAACAGTAGTTCAACCTGGAGAGACTACAAGAGACGAGATGCGTTTAAGAGTTGTTTATTTTATGGATTGAGTTTGTTTATTGGTTTGGAGCTTAGGCCCCGGCTGTGGCCGTGCTCTGGAGAGATCTGCGCCTGGGTGCAGATCATGATCCCCCGGGGCCTAGACACTGGTGGTGGCAACAAGGCAAGGTGAATGTGAGAGTGAAGAAATCCTGAGGCGGAGGTGGGGAGGAGGTGGTTGCAGCTTGAAGTCCGTTTGGTGAGCTGTGCTCTGCTTTGCTCTTAAACGCTGGCTTGATTGACACGGCTGCGGGGAGTTGATTAAGACAGGCTGAGTAAGGCGTGGTCAAGCCTGGTGTGATGACGTAGGTAGTCTACCATACTGAACCTCCGCTTAAGCTCCATTTTTCTCAAAGGATTTTACAAAAACAAATCTCAAACGCAAGAAATGGAATCATAATAAACACATAGAGCCATTGGTCCAAAAGGAGCAGAGACCAATGTTTATAAATGTGGATAATAAAAGTAATTAGTCCTCATACAGATACAGAGTCCCTGTGTGTTGTTGCAGAGCGGAGCTGTGTGGTCTGTGGACGCAGCTGGAGGCCGACAGTCCTGCTCTGGCGTCGCTGCTGGAGGAGGTTCTGGCCCACGTTCTGGTCCGTCTGCAGGACTCCATCCGGGACCGGGACAGTCTGGAGCAGGCTCTGCGCAGGTACAAAGCTTCTGGGTTCTATGAGCGGGATTCAAACTAGAACCACCGCAACTCCTGATTGGTCCTGGTCTTTAAGGTTAAGGGTGTATTCAGACCTGCACATTTGCTCCACTTTAAACGGACCAGGATTCGTTTGGAACTCTGATCCGAAGCTTTTATGCAGGTCTGAATACACACAAACGAATCCAGGTCCGGACCAAAGAACCGAACCGAGACCCACTTTTTTAGGTGGTCTCGGTCCGCTTCCAAACAAATTCTGGTCCAAACCGAATCAGGTCTGAATACATCCGGTGTCGATCCGACACAACTCCAAGATACGTGCGCATTTTTTGGGCTTAACAAGCACCGCAGACAGAAACTGAGGAATTAGCCATGCAGCTGCTAACTATGCTGCTAACGCTACACAACAACACTGAGCCGTGTGCAGACCTGGAGCAGTGAGGAGACGCTGTGCAACAGGCTTATGGAGTTAAAACTGTTCACAGTATACATTGATGTTAATGACAGCATCTTCAAATACTTTGCATTATTAAAAACGTGACACTGTTTGACTCACGTCTCAAAAAGAAATATCCCGCATCATGTAGTGAATTGTGTTCTTTGGTGCCTACCTGATCCTCAGCGTCTGCTTGTCCCGTGGTTTTATAGATCCATGGTTTATCCACAATGCTGAACAGGGCCGTTATTATCATAGATCCATGTGTGGGACAGAGTTATTATCATAGATTCATGTGTGGGACAGAGTTATTATAATAGATCCATGTGTGGGACAGAGTTATTATCATAGATCCATGTGTGGGACAGGACACGGAGCGCACAGACTCCTTCGGCTTTCTCCTCACGCATTCTCAGACGCTGTTCCAATATTTAAAACAACGCGTTTGGCCTGTGTCATATGAGCTGATGTTGAAGGTGGTTTTGCTCTAAAAAGAGCAAACATAGGCAGAGCAGACATGCTGCACATACGAGCCCTCAATGTTTTCTGCCGGTTCCGCGTCTATCCTCCGTGAGCTCTGCTGTCCAATAGGAGCGCCGATCGTCACACGTGTCAATATGTTTATATAAAAAAGTTCACTTGCAAAAAGGACAGTCTGAATACGAACCGGAGCAAAAGAAAAAAGTTTGGTCCGCTTTTGATTCGGATCAAGCAAGCGGAGCAAAGGACTTTTCAGGTCTGAATACACCCTAAGATAAAGAGACAGTAGCTCAGTTGGTAGAGCATTGGTCTTTGAACCTGATCGTTGTGGGTTCAATCCCCCCATGTCATTTGTTCCCTTTGCTGTTGTTGTGTCCCTGGGCACTTAACCCCAAATTCATACCATTTAATTTGACAAGACCATGACAAGAGAGAGCTATCATTCTGCAGCAACAGAGACGTCATGAGGCTCTGGGACACAGTGACACATGGGGCTTCAGGCAGAGTGGGGTTTAATGTCTTGCCCAGGGACACAACGGCAGCAGTGGGAGTAGATAGAGCAGCCCTCGTGGGGGGATCAAACCCACGACCACTGTCCCTAGTGTGGGGCGGATAAAGAACCTCTTAATCTGACCTACCGTTAGGGAAAAGGCTTTAGGTAATGACCGAAAAGACAAAGGACGAGTCTCCCCTGCAGAGATAGGGTCATGGCCGGAGCTTGGACTAGAGCCGCTGCTGTTTTTGTTTTGTTTGTTTAGACGAGAAACTGAGCACGACGAGATGATTCGCTCCGTGTACGAAGAGACGGAAAACCAAATGAGAGAAGAGAGAGAGAAACATGCAGCAGAGGTATTGATATGATGTTGTCTTGACATTGGGAATTAAAACTATTACTAATAATCTGAAGGAATTCTAAGGGAAGTTTGAAAGAGAAGCAGAAGAACCAACATCTGGAGGAACGTCTGAAGGTCCAGGCCCAGGAGCTGGAGCGGGCCCTGAACAAACAGAGAGAGGTATTTGATCTGTACCCACACAAGAGGCACATGGTTACATTTGGAACATTTGTAACTTAGTGTTAGTACATGTTTGAATTGTGTGATATCTCTCTGGTCTCTCTCTGGTCTCTCTCTGGTCTCTCTCTGGTCTCTCTCTCTGGTCTCTCTCCGGTCTCTCTCTGGTCTCTCTCTGGTCTCTCTCTGGTCTCTCTCTGGTCTCTCTCTCTGGTCTCTCTCTGGTCTCTCTCTGGTCTCTCTCTAGTCTCTTTCTGGTCTCTCTCTGGTCTCTCTCTGGTCTTTCTCTGGTCTCTCTGGTCTCTCTCTGGTCTCTCTCTGGTCTCTCTCTGGTCTTTCTCTGGTCTCTCTGGTCTCTCTCTGGTCTCTCTCTAGTCTCTTTCTGGTCTCTCTCTGGTCTCTCTCTGGTCTATCTCTGGTCTCTCTGGTCTCTCTCTGGTCTCTCTCTGGTCTCTCTCTGGTCTCTCTGGTCTCTCTCTGGTCTCTCTCTGGTCTCTCTCTGGTCTCTCTCTGGTCTCTCTCTGGTCTTTCTCTGGTCTCTCTCTGGTCTCTCTCTGGTCTCTCTTTGGTCTCTCTCTGGTCTCTCTCTGGTCTCTCTCTCTGGTCTCTCTCTGGTCTCTCTCTGGTCTCTCTCTCTGGTCTCTCTCTGGTCTCTCTCTCTGGTCTCTCTCTGGTCTCTCTCTGGTCTTTCTCTGGTCTCTCTGGTCTCTCTCTGGTCTCTCTCTGGTCTCTCTCTGGTCTTTCTCTGGTCTCTCTCTGGTCTCTCTTTGGTCTCTCTCTGGTCTCTCTCTGGTCTCTCTCTGGTCTCTCTCCTGTCCATAGGCAAGACACTCCCCCCACATTAGAATGAGTCTGGTGTGTGTGTGAATGGTTGGTGGTGGTGGGACAGGCTGGTTGCCTCGCTTCTGTCAGTTTGCCCCAGGGCAGCTGTGGCCATTGTGTTTGGAGAGAATAATGATGTGAAGAGACTTTTCCTTGTATGAAACGGATGTCTGTGATGTGGCTGTGACAGACGGAGCGAAGTGTGAGGCTGATGAGCTGTGACCAGAGCAAAGTGAATGAGCAGAACCAGAAACTTCTCAGAGAAAACCAGCAGCTTCAGGACCAGCTGCAGAACCATCAACAACAACTGGAGAACAAGCAACAGCAGCTGCAGACGGCATTGAACCAGCTCAGCCTCCTCCAGGAGAGGGCGGATCTGGACATGCAGAACAAACAGAGGTACCATCCACACTGGTCTCTCTCTGGTCTTTCTCTGGACTCTCTCTGGTCTCTCTCTGGTCTCTCTCTGGTCTCTCTCTGGTCTCTCTCTAGTCTCTGTCTGGTCTTTCTCTGGACTCTCTCTGGTCTCTCTCTGGTTTCTCTCTAGTCTCTCTCTGGTCTTTCTCTGGACTCTCTCTGGTCTCTCTCTGGTCTTTCTCTGGACTCTCTCTGGTCTCTCTCTGGTCTTTCTCTGGTCTTTCTCTGGACTCTCTCTGGTCTCTCTCTGGTCTCTCTCTGGTCTCTCTCTGGTCTTTCTCTGGACTCTCTCTGGTCTCTCTCTGGTCTCTCTCTGGTCTCTCTCTAGTCTCTCTCTGGTCTTTCTCTGGACTCTCTCTGGTCTCTCTCTGGTCTCTCTCTGGTCTCTCTTTGGTCTCTCTCTGGTCTCTCTCTGGTCTCTCTCCCTCTGGACTCTCTCTCTGGTCTCTCTCTCTGGTCTCTCTCTCTGGTCTCTCTCTCTCTGGTCTCTTTATAATTAAAACTCTTTGTTTCAGGAATGTTTTGAAAGTTTCCAGGAACATGCAGAAAGAGAAGGACAGTCTGCTGAGGCAGCTGGAACTCCTCAGGTGAGACATAATAACTTCCTGCTTTACAGTTTAAAGGAATATTGCACATGTTCTTAGTGCGCAATAGTAGGGGAAACCGGAGCACCCAGAGGAAACCCACCTATCAGAAAAAATGTTGGGCACGTTTGGGCAAAGAACAGAGCACAGGACCTTCTCACTGCTACATTGTGCCTCCCCATCCCACTAGGTTTTTTTATTTATTATTTTTTTATTTATTTATTAATTTATTTCAGGCAATGGCAAAAGTGAGAAAACGAGGTAATTGAAAGCAATTAAGTAATATAAATAATAAAAAGTAAAAAACAAAACAGACAAACACAATAAAAAACAAACAAACAAAAAAACAGTGTAAACAAAAAATTTATAAACAAAAAACTATGGTTTAACATGGCCATATATTTCTGCCTGAAAAAGGTTAAAGGAGCAGTCTGTACAAATGTGTCCAAAAGTGGTACTGCAGCCTCTCCCACTCTCCCTGACTCAGGTTGCCAGATATGCAGACGAATCCAGCTGGGACCATAACAGCTGAATAGACAAGAGTTTTGTCAACAACAAATCTATAACCAACACCTTTTTCACAAAGATAGAAATCCTGGTTTTATTCCTTGTTTTGTTGTTAATGATTTGAGAATCATAACGAGACCTTTGCCAAAGCAGGTTACTTTGTCCCCTTTAATGCCACTTTTAATGAATGTATTTTGTACCATTTGTACGTGTCTCAGACAGCCATTTTGTATTGTGGGCCAACCCTGTGGGCGGAGCCTCCTCATGTTAAAAAGCTCACAGATAAACCTCATCACGAGAGACACTCCCAAGGGATAGGACTGTGTGTTGCTTTGTCCAAAATAAATCTTTGATTTACACTTTTTATTACAAATTCTGCCGACTCATTTTGACACTCGGGCCAGCTTCCCCACAAGACCTTTTTTAGTTCTGCGCCACATGGTACTTTACCAGTGAGATTAGCTCACTGGTAAACCTCTGGAACGAATGAACCTTGTTTTTTTTCTGTTTTAGGGACATGAACCGACGGATGCGGGACGAGAAGGACGTACGTTTGGAGTCCCAGCGGAGGGTTCTTCCCAGACTTCCTGTTCTGTCCTCGGTCCCTGTGGCTCAGTTCATGTATCCTCCTTAACTTGAGCTGTTTCCCTGAGTCCGCACAACGTTTGGTTATTCATTCATGGGAAAAAAACGCTGATGCTGCATGTTTCAACTTTCAACAAAGGGTCAGATGAAAACATAGACTGTGTATAGATGGACGATGCTAACGCGCTAGCTCAATGAGGCCCAACAGGGAAGCGCTAATGCTAGGTCCACCTCCCAACTCGCTCTGACTCCCATTGACTCACATGTAAAACTAAACTCCTCCTGCTCAGTGACCGTTTCTCACTCTCACCATTTTGGGCTTAACAAATCTCTGGTTTATCGCTCTCTGTGATCCTGGTGTTTATATTGTGATGTTGTCTTTGTAAATCCATAAAGAGCCGAATAAGGATTGACCAATCAGAAACTTTCATTCGCAGGCAAACTCCAGCATGCCTTAGCAACCGCCTTAGCAACACATCTGCATCTTTAACACACAAAGCTAACCACAGCTAACACTAAAAAGAGTCCTAAAGTCGGAGCAAATGCCCATATAAGGAAATTGGCGCTAGCTAGCTAAAGCCCGTCCACTGCTAATACACAGTCTATGGTTGAAAATAACAGTATTAAAGTTATTTATCGTTGGTTTTATATATTTCTGGGTTTCTTCATGTGATGTGAGTTATGAACGACTGAATTAGTGCATTTTAAGTATTTGAACAGTTTATCGAAGGTCATCAAACTTAGACTCTTTCACTGTTTTTTGGTTCTAAATGATCAGAATGTTCCAAAGCGAAGATCAAAAGAAGCTTGTTGCACTAGTTTTTATTCGGGTGCAGATCCTTGAGTTTCCGTTCTTTCTTCTAAAACATTTGATACTTGTTGTAAATATTGCATCATTTTTTGCTTGTCACTAATAAATTATTGACTGATTTAAAACTTAAACCGGTTTTAGTGTCAATAGTGTCGCACGGATATAATCAAGACAGGAATAAACATAAGAGTTTAATTTGATTAAATACAAAATAAAAACATGTAACATTTATTTCATAATTAGTAACGTTACAGACGGACATACACACACACAGAGACACACACACACACACAGAGACATACACACACACACACATACAGAGGGACATATACACACAGAGAGATATACACATAGATGGAGCGCCATCCAAGGAGCTGTCTGCACCAAGAGCAGAGAGCCGCCCGCAGCCACAGGGGACAACACAGGAACTAGAGGAAGCCAAGGCTCACAACGCTCTATTTGCTTTTCGCGGTAGACCACCCCGGGCCGATGGGGGTGGACCCGGAATAAGAATTAGCCAATGCTATATGTTAGCATTGGCTAATTCTTATTCCGGGTCCACCTCTCGAAAGCGGTCCGCACATTAAAAAAATTGTGTTGCCCCTTTATGCTGTTACCTACAGTAAACGTAGAAGCTAAGACAGAGGCGAGTCTCACCAATGTTTTTCTCGTCATCCCAGGTTTTGGATTTGTTCAGTTCGGTCTCAGACACTTATTTTTAGGTCCTCTGATCTTCTTGCGCTAAAGTGCAAGGAGTCAGAAGTGAGGCTATAGACCCAGGACTGAGGCTGTAGACCCAGGACTGAGGCTGTAGACCCAGGACTGAGGCTGTAGACCCAGGACTGAGGCTGTAGACCCAGGACTGTGGCTGTAGACCCAGGACTGAGGCTGTAGACCCAGGACTGAGGCTGTAGACCCAGGACTGAGGCTGTAGACCCAGGACTGAGGCTGTAGACCCAGGACTGAGGCTGTAGACCCAGGACTGAGGCTGTAGACCCAGGACTGAGGCTGTAGACCCAGGACTGAGGCGGTATTATTACCACTGTCTTGGTGGGTTTCCTCCGTGTACTCCAGTTTACCACCACCCCCCAAAACATGAAGATGTTTTGGGGGGTGGTGGTTCCAGATTAGCACAATATTTTTGACTGCCTGAAATCGCGAGGGATGTATTTATAACTTTATGTAAACTTATATCCTTAGTCGTCGTTGAACAGCCGCCTGTTCCCTGCAATAATCAAGTTCTAACTTCAGTTTAGAATTTTGAGATTGCAGCATTTTAACCGAGCAGTGAAGAGATTCTTTTCTCTCTTTAAGCCGGTCTAACCTAGTTTTAAGATCAACCAGCTCTCTGTCCTTGGAGCAGAGCAGTTCAGTCTGTTTTCTGAGTTCACGGGTCTCAGATTGTAGCGATTCTAACTCTTTACTCACTGACATTTCTCTGTCGTCCAAGTTTTCTCTGAAGGTGATCTCCTCAAGTAAGCGTTCTTCTATATATCTGTTCCAACTCCTGATTTCTTTTGACAGGGTTGAGCTGTTGAGATGTTTGTGCGTCGATTTCCTCATTTGACTCAAAGTAATCCAAAACACTTGTTGGATTTTGGAACAATTCATCTTTGCTCTGGAGAGTCTGCGTGCTTTGTTCCCTCTGGTTTCTCTCTTCAGTTTGGACCAGTCCTGTTAAGTTTTCTCTCGCCCTAGCATCAACCTCAGTCTCTTCCTTCATTTCTTTGCGTAGATTTTTCGCAATTTCCTCTTTCAACTCGCCGTTTTCCCTTTGAAGCCGCCGCAACATGCCACGCAAAGACTTTTCTCTCTCTGTAAAAGTCTCCTCCATCAGAGACTCCTTCGTTTCTGATACGACCTGTAACTGAGAAAGGTTTCAATCAGTTCGGTGTACTGTGTTTGCAGCGACCCCACTGCCTGCTGTAGAGACTGTTGTTGCGCCTCGGTCTCGCAGTCTTTTTGCTTCAGAGCGGCCTGAAATGCTGCATGGTCTTCCTCAGACTTCTGCTCAAGGCGTTCGATCTCGGCCACCTGGATTTTGATTTTCTCCATTTGGGTGTGAAGCAGATCTCGAGTCTCGTCTCCGTTCTTCTCCAACTTCTCTGTCCGGAGTCGAGTCGTTTCTGACTCCTGCATAGACGCCTCATTCGTCCCCTGGACGTTAGCACATTCTGCAGCACTTTTTATCCACGCGCCGCTTGTGTTTATAAAATCAACAGAAGGATTTATCTCCTCCTTTTGTTTTTTCCCAGTCTGGACTTTCTCACGACGTTTTGAACTTTCAGATTCCATCTTGAAAAAAAACAAGCAATTCATGTTAGTGTAGTGTCCCTCAAACACTGGAGAAATGTGCATAAACCCAACTTTAACCCTAATGCATAAGGTTTAAATAGAATCCATTTGGTCATAAAGGTATCCATAGCAACACCCAGACTTCCCTATCCACACACACCTCCTCCAGCTCGTCCGGGGGGACCCCAAGGCGTTCCCAGGCCAGCTGAGAGACATAGTCCCTCCAGCGTGTCCTGGGTCTTCCCCGGGGCCTCCTCCCGGTGGGACGTGCCCGGAACACCTCCCCAGGGAGGCGTCCGGGAGGCATCCTGAAAAAATGCGCGAGCCACCTCAACTGGTTCCTCTCTACGTGGAGGAGCAGCGGCTCTACTCCGAGCTCCTCCCGTGTGACTGAGCTCCTCACCCTATCTCTAAGGGAGCGCCCAGCCACTCTGCGGAGGAAGCTCATTTTGACCGCTTGTATCCGCGATCTCGTTTTTTCGGCCATTACCCAAAGCTCATGACCATAGGTGAGGGAGGGAACGAAGATTGACCGGTAAACCACCACAACGGTCCGATACAGCGACCGCATCACTGCGCACGCTGCACCGATCCGCCTGTCAATCTCACGCTCCATCCTTCCCTCACTCGTGAACAAGACCCCGAGATACTTGAACTCCTCCACTTGAGGAAGGACCGCTCCACTCACCTGGAGCGGGATAGTGAATGGAAGCTCAGACTCTGCTTAGAAGAAAGTTTCATGTATACAAACAGAATCATACAAATTACAGAATAGCCCTGGTCCCTGACAAGATGGAAAAGCAGAATGACCAAGAATGAAGCAAACGCTGCTTTCTTACAGTAGCAGAGGAGCGTCATGGGTTGGTCAAGTCACTGGATGTCATAAACCCATATGTCATTCAATAATCTTGTAACTAGTCCTGGAGTCTTCCCTGAGGGTCAAAGTTCCCCATTGGCCAGAGCAGGCAAAACCAATCGCTCAATCCATGACCAGGCTTGCTAGTGGATACTCGAATACAGAACTATAAATCATCTTAAAGAAACACAAACTATAGCATGAAATGTACAACTTTTACATGTACAGACTCAGCAGTTCTCATTGTACAGTCTGACAGCAATGTAATGTTATAATCAAAGACCAAATGAAGTTGTTGTAGTGAAACAAGCAGCCACTAGGGGGCAGACCTGGACTGCTGAGATCTACCCCTGAACGTGTGAATGAAGTTTACCCACAACTAATGTTTTTATGTTTTGCAGGTTTCAGTACAATTTGAGAAGTGTTGTGGTCCCCAAAAATAAAAGTCTGATTCAACAGGTCCATGTAGTTGAAAGCACGTTTTCAACTATTTTGTGTTGAAAGAAAATTACTAATTCTACTACTAAAGCTGGGATACCAAACTTATTGTTCTCATAAATACTACATGTTTGGCCCTGTCTTGTAAACATAAAAAGCTTCAGAAAAGACAAAAGCTGAGTAAATGTGGTCTTTTAATTTTGATTATTCTGTTTACTGTTGACACCAACCATTGCTAAAGCTAGAGATTTTATACTTGCTTCTTTATTATGCTAAAGTTAGAGAATTTATACTTGCTTCTTTATTATGCTAAAGTGTGTTATTTTAGTATAGAGTTTTTGTTCATTTATCTTGTGCTGTGTGCTTCTTACTGTTCTCTAACTCTCCTCTCTGTGGGATGTTTTATGTTTCAGCTTTAACCTTCTTCGGCTCCAATTGGGGGCAGTGCTGCTCCCAGTGCTGTCTCAGTCTGGGACAGAGACAGAGACGGAGAGAGAGAGACACAGAGATAGAGAGAGACAGTGACACAGAGACACAGACACAGAGACAGACACAGAGGCAGACACAGAGACAGACACAGAGACAGACACAGAGACAGACGCAGAGACAGAGACAGACGCAGAGACAGAGACAGACAGACACAGAGACAGACACAGAGACAGAGACAGACACAGAGACAGACGCAGAGACAGAGACAGAGACAGACACAGAGACAGACACAGAGACAGACACAGAGACAGAGACAGACACAGAGACAGACGCAGAGACAGAGACAGAGACAGACGCAGAGACAGACACAGAGGCAGAGACAGACACAGACACAGAGACAGACACAGAGACAGACACAGAGACAGACACAGAGACAGACACAGAGACAGACACAGAGACAGACACAGACACAGAGACAGACACAGAGACAGACACAGAGACAGACACAGAGACAGACACAGAGACAGACACAGAGACAGACGCAGAGACAGACACAGACACAGAGACAGACACAGAGACAGACACAGAGACAGACACAGAGACAGACACAGAGACAGACACAGAGACAGACACAGAGACAGACACAGAGACAGACACAGACACAGAGACAGACACAGAGACAGACACAGAGACAGACACAGAGACAGACACAGAGACAGACACAGAGACAGACGCAGAGACAGAGACAGTAACCTTCACGGAGGCGAGAGGTGACAGACCAGTTCTCTCCTGGATTCTTCAGGCTAAGATCAGGTAGGACTATTTCTGGCTCGGCTCCACACTCTCTGACACAAACGTTTAAAAATAAATGTAATGTAACTTCAGACACAGTCACACAGGAACCACAAGCTTTAGTTTAGAACGTGATTATAGTTTGTTGTTGTTCAAAGACAGCTGTAAGAAGTGATAATATATGAGAAAATAAATGCTGTAATCAAGTGGTTTTTCCTCTCTATCTGGTCTCTCTCTGGTCTCTCTCTCTCTCTGGGCTCTCTCTCTGGTCTCTCTCTACTCTCTCTCTTGTCTCTCTCTCTAGTGTCTCTCTCCGGCCTCACTCTGGTCTCTTTCTTGTCTCTTTCTGGTCTCTCTCTGGTCTTTCTCTCTTGTCTCTTTCTGGTCTCTCTCTGGTCTTTCTCTCTTGTCTCTTTCTGGTCTCTCTCTGGTCTCTCTCTCGCTCTCTCTGGTCCCTGTTTGGAATTTCCTCATTCCAAGGGAGACATTTCTTGAATCTTTTTAATGTTGCTTTGTCCCATCTAGCAAACCCCTGTTTTAAAGGCAGTCAAAATGTCTTAAAATCCAGACACATTTTTTTTTTAGCAATTTCTGACTCCTTTTTTCTTCTTTTTCCTCACTTTTTGCAGTGCACAGCCCAAAGCACATACACACATTATTAGCGTGTCGTTACATATGATCAGCCATATTTTCTCACGCTTTCAGCACCTTCCAACCCAGCCCTCTCATGACTGAAGCATGTCCAACTTAGATTACCCAGAATTCCACTCTGCAATTCAATCTTCCTGGATATAAAGATGTAATTGCGCCGGGGGTCTATATTTATGGCACACGTCACAGAAGCTTGTGTGTCGCAGGATGATGGAGAATCAGGCAGAGAAAAACAGTCGTGGGACGATCTGCCTCAAGTACATCCTGGTTCTGTTCAATGTGGTTTTCCTGGTGAGTGCGTTAGTCTGAGTGTGGGAGATTGGACCACATGTGTCTCTCTGTGTCTCTGTCTCTGTGTCTCTGTCTCTGTATTTCTGTGTGTCTCTGTCTCTCTGTATTCTCTGTGTCTTTCAGTCTCTCTGTGTCTCTCTCTCTGTGTTCTCTGTCTCTCTGTGTTCTTTGTCTCTCTCTGTCTTTCTGTGTCTCTGTATTCTCTCTCTGTGTCTCTGCAGGTCTCTGGAGGAGTCTTGTTGGCTGTGGGAGTCTGGGCCCTGGTGGAGAAGAGCGACCTCATCTCTTTACTCGACTCCAGCTTCTTCTTCACCCTGGCCTTCGCCTTCATCGCCGCCGGAGCCATCGTCATCGTCACTGGAACGATCGGCTGCTGCGCCAGCCTCAAAGAGATCAAAAGCCTTCTGGTGGTGGTAAAGATAAGAAGCTAGTATATAATCACTAACTTTAGCATAATAAAGAAGCAAGTATAAATCCTGTATATTCTATTCCATTCCCTTTTCTTCCGCTTCATCCGTTGCCGGGTCGCGGGGGGCAGCAGTCTAAGCTGCCCCCGCGAACGCCTCCAAATCCACAAAGCACATGTGGACTGGTTGGGCAAACTCCCATGAACCCTCGAGTCTCCGATAGAGAGTATAGAGATAGTGTTCCACAATCGGGACCAAAACCACACTGCTCCTGAATCCGAGATTTGACCATCGGTCGTAGTCTCCTCTCCAGTACTACCGTATATACTCCTGTATATTCTAGTGCAGATATATAGTTGTATGTTAGCATGTTAGCATGTTAGCAGCATGAGGCTCTGGGACACAGGGACACATGTGCTTCTATATTGCACATTCTGACATTATAAAGATTATTGCACATGTCAGGTCCGGTCCGCAGCCTTCGTCAGCCTTTGTTAGCCTTTGTTAGCCCTAATTGTTGGTTGCACAGTTGTAAAGACGCTGAGACCATGAGCTCATCAACACTTTCAGCCCAGAAACTATTTACAGCCGAAGCCAGTGCTGCTCTGACGGTCATTCAGACTGATTTAGAAAGTGTCTGGTGCTAGAGGAATGAGAGGTCTCACACATACACATACACACACACACACATACACACACACACACACACACACACACGGGACTCTTGAATACTACGGATGGATTTGACTAAATATCACATCCATCCAGCTTCAAGATTCATTGCAGCGTTTGTGAGACGTAGAGTTGCTGTACATTACAAAGGGTTAAAGCTATTTGTAGTTTTGAACCTTCCCCCAAATGACTTCTTCTATGGTGGTCACATGATCAGACACCAGGACATAGCAACATCTAGTGGCGCAATGTGAGAATACATTAATAACATAAAAGGAAATACACATACTTACACACACACACACAAATATACATACTTACACATACACACACACAAATATACATACTTACACATACACACACACAAATATACATACTTACACATACACACACACAAATATACATACTTACACACAAGTTTGTGTAAGCCCTCAGTCGTACAGGGATTAGTCAAAGCAAAGGAAGGTTTCTCACCCATCATCTGTACTTCTTGTACCAGCGGACTTCTTCAGGGAATGAATTCTCAGACCGCACGTTGGACATTTATACTTACACACACACACACACAAATATACATACTTACACACACACATACACAACTATACGTACTTACGCACATACACAACTATACATACTTACACACACAAATATACATACTTATATCTTCAAAGATAAGTTGTGCGAGTTTAACCAGGTGCTACGTAGTACGAGAGAAAGGTATTTTTCTGAAATGATTGAAGGCTGCAGCAACAATCTGCGTGTTCTGTTCTCAACAGTTAATAGATTAACAAACCCCCCTGTTCAGATGCCATTAGAGCTTACTTCCAAACGTAAATGTAATGAGTTTTCAAATTTTTTCAATGACAAGGTTCAAGGCATCAAAAACGCCATTGTCTCCAATCCACAGATAACCATCCAACAGCCAGAAAGGCTCTCTGAGCTAACTCACTTTGCACCTGTGAATGATCAAACTGTCCAAGAGACAATCTCCAGTTTGAGCTCCTCCACATGCAGCCTGGATGTACTACCCACTAGATTTCTGAAGTCTGTTCTGAGCAGTCTGTTACCTTCACTCAGATAGTAAACATGTCCCTTAATTCTGGAATATTCCCAAAGGCCCTGAAAACTGCAGTCATCAGGCCCCTGCTAAAAAAGAGCAGCCTGGATGCTACGGTACTTAACAACTATCGTCCCATCTCAAATCTGCCATTTATGGGGAAAGTCCTAGAAAAAGTTGTCTACCAACAGTTAAATAGATTTCTTATAATCAACAACTCATTTGATATGTTTCAGTCCGGCTTTAGACCCCACCACAGCACTGAGACTGCTCTCGTCAAGGTAACAAACGATATCCGGCTGAACACTGACGCAGTGTCTCAATCTTAATCTTGTTAGATCTGAGTGCTGCCTTTGACACTGTCGACCATGAGATCCTCTTACAGAGACTAGAGGACTGGGTTGGCATCGCTGGCACCGCCCTAAGTTGGTTTAGGTCTTACCTTGAAGACAGGAAGTACTTTGTGGAGATTGGAAACTGTGTCTCAGATCATATGGCCCTGACCTGTGGAGTACCACAGGGGTCGATCCTGGGACCTCTTCTGTTCAATCTCTACATGCTGCCGTTAGGTCAGTTAATACGCAGAAACAAAGTGTCCAATCACAACTATGCAGACGACACTCAGATCTATGTCTCACTGACTGCAGGAGAACATGGACCAGTGGACTCACTCCTTCACTGTATCCAACAGATCAGTGAGTGGATGCAAAACAACTTCCTTCAGCTAAACGCAGACAAAACTGAAATGATTGTCTTTGGTCCCCAGAAACAAAGAGAGAGCGTCATCTGTCACCTACAGTCTCTCTCCCTAAAACCTTCAAACAAGGTCAGAAATCTAGGGGTAATACTGGACTCAGACTTAAATTTTAATAGCCACATCAAATCAGTAACATCAGCAGCTTTTTACCATCTAAAAAACATTGCCAGGATCAAAAACATAGTGTCTAAAGCAGACTTGGAGATTCTTATCCATGCATTTGTCTCCAGTAGGTTAGACTACTGCAATGGCCTGCTCACAGGTCTGTCCAAACAGGCTGTAAAACAGCTGCAGTACATTCAAAATGCAGCAGCTCGAGTCCTGACTAGAACCAGGAAGTACGACCACATTAGTCCTGACTAGAACCAGGAAGTACGACCATATTAGTCCGGTCCTCAGGTCTCTGCACTGACTTCCTGTGGCTCAGAGAATAGACAGAAGAAAACAGCTCTGCTTGTTACAAGTCTCTCCATGGCCTCGCACCAAAATATATTAGTGACATGTTAGTCCCATATGAACCAGCCCGGACTCTGAGGAGCACAGGGACTGGACTCCTGCTGGGACTCTGAGGAGCACAGGGACTGGCCTCCTGCTGGGACTCTGAGGAGCACAGGGACTGGCCTCCTGCTGGGACTCTGAGGAGCACAGGGACTGGCCTCCTGCTGGGACTCTGAGGAGCACAGGGACTGGACTCCTGTTAGTGCCCAGAGTCAGGACTAAACATGGGGAGGCTGCTTTTCAGATTCATGCTGCTAAAATCTGGAACAATCTTCCTGAAGATGTGAGACAGGCCTCCTCTCTGACAATGTTTAAAACCAGGTTAAAAACAGTTCTGTTCAGCTGTGCTACAACTGAGGGATTTTATGTTTTTATCTTTCTTTTTAATGTTCTGTGATTATTTATGATTTTAATGCTTTCTTGTTTTGGTCAGCACTTTGAGTTGCCTTGTGTATGAATTGTGCTATACAAATAAACTTGCCTTGCCTTGCCTACTTACACACACAAATATACATACTTACACACAGACACACATATACACAACTATACATACTTACACACACACACACAACTATACATACTTACACACACAAATATACATACTTACACACACACACAAATATACTGTACATACTTACACACAGACACCCCCCCCACACACACACACTCAGACACACACACACAGACACTTACACACACACACACTTACACACACAGACCCTAATGGCCTTCTCTCTTCCAGTTCGTGGTTCTGTTGTTGTGCATTTTTCTTCTGGAGATTATCGCTGGAACTTTGGCTTTTATCAACTACAAAGAGGTGAGAACTTTCTGATCGACAGTTTGTCATCGCTTCATATTTACATTTGTTGAAATCGTTCCTTTCACCTCCGTCACACGACTTCAGATCTGTGTCTTCCATTTGTCCAAGTGTCTCATCTCTGTCTTTGTCTCTTGTTTTTGTCCCAGTGTTTTCCTTTCTGCCTCCAGGTAACACTTCAAACACACTCTGCTACAGTTCAGTAAGAAACAGATACATTGTACAAAGAAATGTGTGAAAATGGGTCAAATACTTCTTAAAATAAGAAAAAACAGATAATATGACTTGACAAGATTTATGAAAACTATAGCACTAACTAACTAATGGTTGGTGTGTGTGTTTGTAAGTATGTGTGTGTGTGTTTGTATGTGATTGTGTGTGTGTTTGTATGTGTTTGTGTGTGTGTGTGATTGTATGTGTGTGTGTGTTTGTATGTGTGTGTGTGTGTGTTTGTAAGTATGTGTGTATGTTTTTGTGTGTGTGTGTGTTTGTATGTGATTGTGTGTGTGTGTGTTTGTATGTGTTTGTGTATGTGTGTGATTGTATGTGTGTGTGTGTGTTTATATATGTGTGTGTGTGTGTGTGTGTGTGTGTGATTGTATGTGTGTGTGTGTGTTTGTATGTGTGTGTGTGTTTGTGTGGGTGTTTGTATGTGTGTGTGTCTGTGTGTGTGTGCAAAAAAGTTTAAAAGTTTTTTTTGAGATATGTATGAAGTATTATTAAAACTAGTAAAATAATCTAATGACAAACTACATTCAAGCAACAAAAACTTAAATAAAAAAGTTAAGCATCATTTATGTTATTTTCTTGTGACTAAATTTTACCGAGATTTTACATTTTTCAGTGATACATTGTAGCTCTGTGCGTTACAGTCGTTATTAGAATAGATCCATGGTTACAGCCCAGTGTTACAGTCGTTATTAGAATAGATCCATGGTTACAGCCCAGTGTTACAGTCGTTATTAGAATAGATCCATGGTTACAGCCCAGTGTTACAGTCGTTATTAGAATAGATCCATGGTTACAGCCCAGTGTTACAGTCGTTATTAGAATAGATCCATGGTTACAGCCCAGTGTTACAGTCGTTATTAGAATAGATCCATGGTTACAGCCCAGTGTTACAGTCGTTATTAGAATAGATCCATGGTTACAGCCCAGTGTTAGTCGTTATTAGAATAGATCCATGGTTACAGCCCAGTGTTACAGTCGTTATTAGAATAGATCCATGGTTACAGCCCAGTGTTACAGTCGTTATTATGATAGATCCATGGTTACAGCCCAGTGTTACAGTCGTTATTAGAATAGATCCATGGTTACAGCCCAGTGTTACAGTCGTTATTATGATAGATCCATGGTTACAGCCCAGTGTTACAGTCGTTATTAGAATAGATCCATGGTTACAGCCCAGTGTTACAGTCGTTATTATGATAGATCCATGGTTACAGCCCAGTGTTACAGTCGTTATTAGAATAGGTCCATGGTTACAGCCCAGTGTTACAGTCGTTATTATGATAGATCCATGGTTACAGCCCAGTGTTACAGTCGTTATTATGATAGATCCATGGTTACAGCCCAGTGTTACAGTCGTTATTATGATAGATCCATGGTTACAGCCCAGTGTTACAGTCGTTATTATGATAGATCCATGGTTACAGCCCAGTGTTACAGTCGTTATTAGAATAGATCCATGGTTACAGCCCAGTGTTACAGTCGTTATTAGAATAGATCCATGGTTACAGCCCAGTGTTACAGATGTTATTAGAATAGATCCATGGTTACAACCCAGTGTTACAGTCGTTATTAGAATAGATCCATGGTTACAGCCCAGTGTTACAGAGGTTATTAGAATAGATCCATGGTTACAGCCCAGTGTTACAGTCGTTATTATAATAGATCCATGGTTACAGCCCAGTGTTACAGTCGTTATTAGAATAGATCCATGGTTACAGCCCAGTGTTACAGTTGTTATTAGAATAGATCCATGGTTACAGCCCAGTGTTACAGAGGTTATTAGAATAGATCCATGGTTACAGCCCAGTGTTACAGTCGTTATTATAATAGATCCATGGTTACAGCCCAGTGTTACAGTCGTTATTATGATAGATCCATGGTTACAGCCCAGTGTTACAGTCGTTATTAGAATAGATTCATGGTTACAGCCCAGTGTTACAGTTGTTATTATGATAGATCCATGGTTACAGCCCAGTGTTACAGTCGTTATTATAATAGATCCATGGTTACAGCCCAGTGTTACAGTCGTTATTATGATAGATCCATGGTTACAGCCCAGTGTTACAGTCGTTATTAGAATAGATCCATGGTTACAGCCCAGTGTTACGTCCGTGTCACATCATCAAAGCTTTGTTCTCTGCTTTTGTGTTTTAGTTTAGTTTTTAAATTCACACAGGTTTACTAAGAATCATTCTGTTTATTTTGAGTTACTTTATCAGCAAGAGTATGGGAATTATTATTATTATTACTATTATTATTTTTAGGGTGGAGCTAACAGACAGCACGATACATAGTAGCCCAGACATGTCCAAACCAAGGCCTTGCTAACTCAAACTAGCCTTTGAGCTACTGTCCGTGTCATCCATCCAACTTCAGCTCCACCAAGATTGACAAGCTATACTTAATGAATGGAACATTATGTAGATGGAAAAACACTAGTTGCATGTGCTGCCGTTGTGTCGTTAGGCAAGACGCTTCACCCACATTAGAATGAGTCTGGTGTGTGTGTGAATGGTTGGTGGAGGTGGGAGGGGCTGATGGCACAGACTGGTTGCCTCGCTTCTGTCAGTGTGCCCCAGGGCAGCTGCGGCTTCAGTAGTTATTGCATTATGATGTTGCTTCCGCTCGTGTTAAAACCTCAAACTGGAAAGAGTTACTTTGTAGCTTTGATGAAACGTCTTTGTTTTCAGTCCAACGAGGAGCTGCAGCAGAACCTCAAACAGAACATGCAGCAGAAGTATCAGCAGGAGGAGACTGTGACCAGGGCTGTGGACCGGCTGCAGCAGGAGGTGAGACCAGGAGGAGACTGTGACCAGGGCTGTGGACCGGCTGCAGCAGGAGGTGAGACCAGGAGGAGACTGTGACCAGGGCTGTGGACAGACTGCAGCAGGAGGTGAGACCAGGAGGAGACTGTGACCAGGGCTGTGGACCGCCTGCAGCAGGAGGTGAGACCAGGAGGAGACTGTGACCAGGGCTGTGGACAGACTGCAGCAGGAGGTGAGACCAGGAGGAGACTGTGACCAGGGCTGTGGACTGCCTGCAGCAGGAGGTGAGACCAGGAGGAGACTGTGACCAGGGCTGTGGACTGCCTGCAGCAGGAGGTGAGACCAGGGGGAGACTGTGACCAGGGCTGTGGACCGCCTGCAGCAGGAGGTGAGACCAGGAGGAGACTGTGACCAGGGCTGTGGACCGCCTGCAGCAGGAGGTGAGACCAGAAGGAGACTGTGACCAGGGCTGTGGACAGACTGCAGCAGGAGGTGAGACCAGGAGGAGACTGTGACCAGGGCTGTGGACAGACTGCAGCAGGAGGTGAGACCAGGAGGAGACTGTGACCAGGGCTCTCCTCCTCCTCCTCATGTCTCCTTCTGGTCCCTCAGTTCCGGTGCTGTGGCAGTAACAGTTCAGAGGACTGGGCCGACAGCCTCTGGATCCAGGACCAAAACAACAAACGTCTGGTTCCTGACAGCTGCTGTAAGACTCCTGCTGATCTGTGTGGACTGAGAGACCATCCAAGCAACATCTACAGACTGGAGGTACCACTGGTCGCTCTCAGGTCTCTCTCTCGTCTCTCTCTGGTCTCGCCCTCTTGTCTCTCTCTGGCTTCCCTTTGATATCTCTGGTCTCTCTGATCTCTCTCTCTGGTGTCTCTGGTCTCTCTCTGGTCTCTCTCTCTGGTCACTCTCTGGTCTCTCTCTCTGGTCTCTCTCTCTGGTCTCTCTCTCTGGTCTCTCTCTCTGGTCTCTCTCTGGTCTCTCTCTGGTCTCTCTCTGGTCTCTCTATCTGGCTCCTCTGGTCTCTCCCTGGTCTACCCCTCTTGTCTCTCTCTCTCTCTGGTTTCTCTCTGTGGTCCTCTGTGAGGTTCTCTGGGGTTCTCTGTGATCCTCTGTGAGGTTCTCTGTGGTTTCAGGGCGGGTGTGTACACAGACTGGAGCAGTTTCTTCTGTGGCAGCTGCAGGTTCTGGGGACTCTGGGCGTCGCCATCGCGTCTCTGCAGGTGACGTGTGAACATGCAACATCACTGAGTCTCTGTGTGTCTTACAGCTGATCTGTCTGTCTCTGGTCTCTCTCTCTGGTCTCTCTCTCTCTCTGGTCTCTCTCTCTGGTCTCTCTCTAGCCTCTCTTTGGTCTCTCTCAGGTCTCTCTCTCTGATGGTCTGTGTCTCTTACAGCTGTTGGGGATGCTGCTCGCCTGCTGCTTACACAGGAATCTGACAGAGGACACAAACTGACCACATCCGTGGGTTTTGTAGACGCTAATGCTAATAATGCTAAGTGCTGCTGGACAGTGTCGCCCTGAGAAAGATTTAATTATTTATAGTATATTTAGTCAAATGAATGTATGTAAACTGTCAGGGTTTCATCAATGGGAAGGATGTTTTTGAATGTGATTGTTTTAATGTGTTTCTGGATAAATAAAGCAGTGTTAATGGTCTCTCTCCCTCTCTGGTCTTTCCATCTCTCTGGTCTCTCTCTTTCTCTGATCTCTCCCTCTCTGATCTCTCTCTGGTCACCCCCTCTCTGGTCTCTCTCTAGACTCTCTTTTTGGTCTTTCTCTCTCTGGTCTCTCTTTCTCTGGTCTCTCTCTCTCTGGTCTCTCTCTCACTGGCCTCTCTCCCTTTCAATGCCATACACACAATCAAAATACAATGCTGATATTTTGTAATTGTAAATAAATTGTTTTTGACTTCAGTTTAACACTTTACTTGATTTTATTTTGAAACTCTGCGACCGGAAGTCAGCCACCGGATGTTATGGTCAGCTGACTTTCATGTCTTCTGCCGCCACAGAGCCGTGTTTTTCGTGAGAGAATCTATTATAATGTCTTCCAAACCCACGTGTTTGATCGTGGCCAGTGCGTCTGCGCAGGGTTAGTGTGCTCTCTCTTTCTGTCTCTACGTCACGTGTTCTCTCTCTTTCTCTGTCTCTACGTCACGTGTCTGATGTTGTGTTTGATTGACAGGTGTCTCTGCACAGTGCTTCCAAAAGGCGTTCAGTCTGTGCAGTCCAGCCTTCAACCTGCAGACAGCGACTCCAGGGGTGAGACTTCTGTAGAGACTGGAGCAGAGACTGGAAATATTAGAGTTATGTTACTGAGGAGAGAGACTCTGGCGGAAGGAGAGAGACTTGTTACGGTTTCTACGAGAATCTCCCTCCCTCACTCTGCTCTCTCTCTCTCTACGGTCTTTTTCCGTCTCTCTGGTCCCTCTCCTCCCACTCCCTGCTCTCTCTCTCTTTCACTCTCTTTCTCTGGTCTCTCCCTGGTCTCCTTCCCTCTCTCTCGCTCTCTCTTTCTCTCCCTCTCCAACTGGTCTTTCCTTGTTTTGATATTATTTTGATTAAAATAAATTAAACCACATCCATTTGAAATGGCGACCTGCTTAAGGCTTAAGGTGGCTCCAACACTGAGTGACTTGCATAATACTGAGACACTGTCTACCTGATGATGGTTCACTATTTTTCAGGGGAAGCCCATAAACTTTGTGGGGGTGGATGAGAGCACGGCTCGATGGGTCCAGGACTTCAATGTCAAACCATATGCGACACCAGCAAAACTAGAATCCATCGATGGTAACGTTATTATCAAGGCCAAACCATAAACTAACATATCTGTCCAAATATTCACATTTCACAATCAGAATATGTATATGTAATCTCAAGAGTTAAATCTACCTATTCTGTAGTCTCTCCCTCTGATCTCTCTGGTCTCTCTCTGGTCTCTCTTTGGTCTCTCTCTCCCCATCTCTGGTCTCTCTCTGGTCTCTCTTTGGTCTCTCTCTCCCCATCTCTGGTCTCTCTCTGGTCTCTCTTTGGTCTCTCTCTCCCCATCTCTGGTCTCCCTCTGGTCTCCCTCTGGTCTCCCTCTGGTCTCCCTCTGGTCTCCCTCTGGTCTCTCTCTGGTCTCTCTCTGGTCTCTCTCTGGTCTCCCTCTGGTCTCCCTCTGGTCTCTCTCTGGTCTCTCTCTGGTCTCTCTCTGGTCTCTCTCTGGTCTCTCTCTGGTCTCTCTCTGGTCTCTCTCTCCCCATCTCTGGTCCTCTCTGGTCTCTCTCTGGTCTCCCTCTGGTCTCCCTCTGGTCTCCCTCTGGTCTCCCTCTGGTCTCCCTCTGATCTCTCTCTGGTCTCTCTCTGGTCTCTCTCTCCCCATCTCTGGTCTCTCTCTGGTCTCTCTTTGGTCTCTCTTTGGTCTCTCTCTCCCCATCTCTGGTCTCTCTCTGGTCTCCCTTTGGTCTCCCTCTGGTCTCTCTCTGGTCTCTCTCTGGTCTCTCTCTGGTCTCTCTCTGGTCTCTCTCTGGTCTCTCTCTGGTCTCTCTCTGGTCTCTCTCTGGTCTCTCTCTGGTCTCTCTCTGGTCTCTCTTTGGTCTCTCTCTCCCCATCTCTGGTCTCTCTCTGGTCTCCCTCTGGTCTCCCTCTGGTCTCCCTCTGGTCTCCCTCTGGTCTCTCTCTGGTCTCTCTCTGGTCTCTCTCTGGTCTCTCTCTGGTCTCTCTCTGGTCTCTCTCTGGTCTCTCTCTGGTCTCTCTCTGGTCTCTCTCTGGTCTCTCTCTGGTCTCTCTCTGGTCTCTCTCTGGTCTCTCTCTCCCCATCTCTGGTCTCTCTCTGGTCTCTCTCTGGTCTCCCTCTGGTCTCCCTCTGGTCTCCCTCTGGTCTCCCTCTGGTCTCCCTCTGGTCTCTCTCTGGTCTCTCTCTGGTCTCTCTCTCCCCATCTCTGGTCTCTCTCTGGTCTCTCTTTGGTCTCTCTTTGGTCTCTCTCTCCCCATCTCTGGTCTCTCTCTGGTCTCCCTTTGGTCTCCCTCTGGTCTCTCTCTGGTCTCTCTCTGGTCTCTCTCTGGTCTCTCTCTGGTCTCTCTCTGGTCTCTCTCTGGTCTCTCTCTGGTCTCTCTCTGGTCTCTCTCTGGTCTCTCTTTGGTCTCTCTCTCCCCATCTCTGGTCTCTCTCTGGTCTCCCTCTGGTCTCCCTCTGGTCTCTCTCTGGTCTCTCTCTGGTCTCTCTCTGGTCTCTCTCTGGTCTCTCTCTGGTCTCTCTCTGGTCTCTCTCTGGTCTCTCTCTGGTCTCTCTCTGGTCTCTCTCTGGTCTCTCTCTGGTCTCTCTCTGGTCTCTCTCTGGTCTCTCTCTGGTCTCTCTCTGGTCTCTCTCTGGTCTCTCTCTGGTCTCTCTCTGGTCTCTCTCTGGTCTCCCTCTCTCTCTCTCTGTGGTCTCTCTAAAGGCTATAAGCTGATTCCCAATCATGTGTATTGCTGTGTTGTGTCCAGGGGCCCGGTACCAGGTGCTGCTGATCCCAGACTGTCCAGGGGCCCCCACAGACCTGGTCCACAGCGGGTCCCTGCACCGCATCCTCACACACTTCATCTGCAGCCAGAGTCAGTGCCTCAGCTCGAAACGCTAACCTTTTCCTTCTCATGGATTCAGTTTATTTGCCAAACTGTGGTTGTGTCCTTAGGCAAGACACTTCCCCCACATTAGAATGAGTCTGGTGTGTGTGTGAATGGTTGGTGGTGGTGGGAGGGGCCGATGGCACAGACTGCTTGCCTCGCTTCTGTCAGTGTGCCCCAGGGCAGCTGTGGCTATAGAAGTTCATCACCTGTGTTTGCAGAGACTTTGAGAGTCCAGAAAAGCGCTGTGTAAAACTGATGCATTGTTAGTGTCACATGTCCACACAGACACACACAGACACACACGCAAAGACAAACACAGACACACACGCAAAGACACACACAGACACACAAGCAAAGACACACACAGACAGACAGACACAGACACACAAGACAGAAAAGTTAGAGAAGACAAAGAAAGAAGGGAAAAAACATTGTAATACTGTTGTGTTGTTGTTGTTGTGTTGTACATACATGTGTGTGTGTTTGTGTGTTCAGAGCCGGTGTGTGCCGTGGGGCAGGGCGTGGCTGCTCTGTGCTGTGAGACTGAAGGACAGAAGTGGATCTTCCATGGATACAGCCTCACGGGGGTGTGTACACAACAAAACTACGGCTACACCACAGAACTACGGCTACACCACAGAACTACGGCTACACCACAGAACTACGGCTGCACAACAGAACTACGGCTACACAACAGAACTACGGCTACACCACAGAACTACGGCTACACCACAGAACTACGGCTACACCACAGAACTACGGCTACACCACAGAACTACGGCTACACAACAGAACTACGGCTGCACAACAGAACTACGGCTACACAACAGAACTACAGCTACACAATAAAATTACAGCTACACATCTGTTCTTCTTGTGTTTACAGCCGTCTGTGTTCGAGTTGGTGCGAAAACCCGACTTTGCCGATCTGCCGCTGATCGTGGAGGACTTTGTGAAGGACAGCGGCGGCTCCTACTCGGGTCAGTGAGCCCCAGGGCAGCTGTGGCTACAGTAGTTTATCATCACTGTTTGGAGAGAGAGAATAATGTGAAGAGACTTTGAGAGTCCGGGAAAACGCAGATTTATGATTAGCAGAGGGTGCTACGGGGCTAACAACACATTAGTTTAAGTATTTTGTGTGTTTGCAGCGAGTCTGGAGGACGCGGTGCACGTAGTGATCGACCGACACCTCATCACCGGACAGAACGTCAGGTCCACGTCACTCGCCGTCAACAACCTCATCCTCCTCAGTTCCAAGTAGAGTCGCAGAGAAGTGGGACGTCTCCGATACATTCCTGGAAAGTTTCTGGTGAATTCCCACAGGAAGTTAAACTGGGGAATGTTGGGATGTTCCATACTGGACCAACTCACTGGGAATGAATGAACTGGGATGATCACATTGTATCATATCCAAACAAATGTCACGGGAACTTTTTTCATGGAGGGGGCGTGGTCTCAGTAGGCGAGGTCTCTGGGGGTGTGGTCTCAGTAGGCGTGGTCTCTGGGGGTGTGGCCTCAGTAGGCGTGGTCTCTGGGGGTGTGGCCTCAGTAGCGGAGTGCTTCCTAACCTGGATAATAATTGTATTTGAACGGCATCTGTTTGTTATAAGATTCTGCTAAAATATTCTCAACTATATTTAAGCCGACTTTACATTTTGAAAATATCCAGTTTCTTCTAATTTTTTCCCATAAAAAGTTTCTATCTTTAAAAATTCCCGGTAATTTTCAACCCAAACTCCAAACATTCCAGTCTCTCACAGACAAAGAAGCTCAGAGACTTCAGTGAAAATAAAACATTCCTGTATTCAGACTTTTATCAAACTGTCGTAGAGTTACTGAAGTGTAAGAAGCTGCTGTTTAACCAAATGATTTACAAAACATGAGGCTGAAGAAAGTCATTTTCAGTTAAATTTTGTCTTTAAACTTTTCAACAGAAGAATAAAACCTCTATAATTTTGCTAATTGTTGGACATAACTTCTAATTATTTTTGTATAAATCACAACAGAACGACTGTGTCTAGGTTTTCCCAGCTGCAGAAACGAACTCTGATGCCGCGTTCAGACCGGATCATGCGTCGGGTTTCAATGCAAAGTCAATGGTGACTCGCGTTTGAGCGTCACAACGCACGAACCTCTCGGCACGCACGGACTGTTCAATAATGACGCACGGACTGTTCAGTAGAGACGCACGGACTTGGCGGGAAAGTCAAAGGGGAGGAGCAGGAGCGAAAAATCGACGCCCACAGGAGATGGATTCTGCTCATCCTTTCCTTGGGACGTTCGTGCAACAACCAATCAGAGAGCAGCAAAGTGGTCACGGGGACATTAGTGGACTGAGCGAGCAGACTGAAAATACTGTAAACAGCCAAAATAGGACCCACACCAGACTTCACCAGAACTCAAACCAGGGTTGACAATGGGGGACTCTGTGCTTGTGAAAATATGCGTTGTCATGCGCCCGTGACCTTATGCAACTGCTTCAAGTGTGTTCACCGATGCGGAAACACAGTTTAATAATACAAAAACACGTATGGCGCACCTCCGTGAACAAATACTACTGTTATATATATGTTCAAAGACACGCTGAAAGCTGCATATTGGAAAAGATCTGTACACAAGAAGCCGCTAGCATAGCTCTGTTAGCATCAGAGCCGGCCGGCTACTTCCGGCGCTGGTCAGGACGTTCTGGTGTGAAGTCCTCTGCGTCTGAAAACTAGAGAATGCGCGTCTGGTGAGCGGCTTCAGCGTTTGAGGCCGTTTGTAAATCTGGTTTAAGAACATTTTTTACAGTGAAGAGTCTGAAAATGACAAATACATTTTATTTAAAACAGTTTTCAATCCTGGATCCAGAGAAAGTGAAGATCAGGTCCGGGCTCAGAGAGCAGGTCCGGGCTCAGAGAGCAGGTCCGGGCTCAGAGAGCAGGTCCGGGCTCAGAGAGCAGGTCCGGGCTCAGAGAGCAGGTCCGGGCTCAGAGAGCAGGTCCGGGCTCAGAGAGCAGGTCCGGGCTCAGAGAGCAGGTCCGGGCTCAGAGAGCAGGTCCGGGCTCAGAGCAGGTCATAAAAATAGTCCAGTCCTTGTCCCAGTTCCCACAGAGAGAGACCGGTCCCGAGCTCCAGAGCCAGGTTTATCCTCAGGAACATGGACTGAAGACCAGAACCACATTATTATTATTATTATTCTATGGATTATGAGATTATAAAACTAAGTACAAGTTTATTTGCAAAATCAGTGACGTTTGAGACAGTGCCATACAAAGACAGTTTCAAATACAGAGATACAGATTTCAGAGAGAGACCAGAGAAAGAGACCAGAGAGAGCCTACCTTCAGAGTGGGGTAGTACACCGCATGTTTGAGACCGTTGGTTCTGGACAGAGACAGTTTGTTATGACCGAAGCTGAAACGTGTTTGAAAAATACTTTTACCTTTTGTAAGTGAAATAGTTCTCGGCTCCAGTTTCGTCCCAGAGGATTTTAGGTCTGTGTTCTCGGAGGAGCTCGATGTATCTGCAGCACGTCCAGGAGAAGAAGAAGAGTTAAAAGTTTAAAAGCCGTTTCATTTTGTTCACTCTCACTGATTGTTTTGTGGAGTTTGTTTTCATTAGAATCAGACATTTAAGAATTACTACACTGCAAAAAGAATCTCTGGTCTCTCCCTCTCTGGTCTCTCCCTCTCTGGTCTCTCCCTCTCTGGTCTCTCCCTCTCTGGTCTCTCCCTCTCTGGTCTCTCCCTCTCTGGTCTCTCCCTCTCTGGTCTCTCCCTCTCTGGTCTCTCCCTCTCGTGTCTGAAGTACCAGCTCCATGTCTAACCTGTTCCCGAGGACTGGCTCCGGTCCCTGCCCAGAGAAGTCCAGGCCGTAGAGGTTCAGTCCCAGCAGGATCTTGTGTCTCCACTGTGGCGACGGAGCCAACTGCATCACACAGTCTCTGACCCAGGGAAGGGGGGCACTAGGACCCGACCTGAGACCAGACCAGAGACCAGATCACAGGATCACACACAGAAGAACCAGGGAAGTACCATCACATTAGTCCTGCTCTCAGGTCTCGCACCAAAGTGCATCTGTGACATGCTAGAGCCATAAGAACCAACTCTGAGGAGCACAGGGACTGGCCTCCTGCTGGTACCTGTGTGTTATGGTGGGAGGGTCAGTACCTGTGGCTGGAATAGTCGTACGTCATGAGGCTGAATCCGTCCACGACTGGAGCCAACTGTTCGAACTCTTCTGGACCGAACTTCCCAGGCTGCCCTTCACTGAGAGAGAGACACACGTCAATGGATTTCAGCACAATACAAAAAGTAAAAGTCAAGGAACAATTCAATGTGTTTGTGTAAAGCCCCATGTCACAGTCTCAAACAACACACAGGAAATACAATAAATACATCAATGAATAAATCTGAATGTACCGAGACATTCAGGGAAACTAGTCTGATCCTGTGTGTGAGTGAAATGACTGACAGCGTTCACCTGGTGCTACACAGCCTTCACCTGGTGCTACACAGCCTTCACCTGGTGCTACACAGCGTTCACCTGGTAATGGGAGGAGGGATGACCAACACACAGTCCAGACGTTTCTCCTGCAGCATCTCACAGATGTGTTTGACCAAATGCACCAACTCCCTGAGGACACACACAGAGACACACACACACACAGACACAGAGAGACATACATACAGACACACAGAGAGAGACACACAGAGACACATCATTATTATAAAGATAAACAACAACAGGAGAAATGCTCGAGCTCACTTTCTTTTGTTTCCTCCGAGCTGAGACCACAACTCCAGAGTGAAGCCGTCGAATCCTTCTGTCTGCAGCAAACACACAACACACACACACACACAACAGGGGAAATGTCAGTGTTGCGTCAGTTACAGAACAGCACAAGGTAAGTGCTGTGCTGAAATAAAGTTAAATCTTTAACTTTAGCCTAATAAAGAATCAAGTATAAGTTGCCGTCACCATAGCAACTGCAGCAGTTACCATATCGACTGCAGTTGTTACCATAGCAACTGCAGCTGTTACCATAGCGACTGCCACCGTTACCTTAGCGACTGCCACCGTCACCATAGGGACTGCAGCAGTCACCATAGCGACGGCAGCTGTTACCATAGCGACGGCAGCTGTTACCATAACGACGGCAGCTGTTACCATAGCGACTGCAGCTGTTACCTTAGCGACTGCCACAGTCACCTTAGCGACTGCAGCTGTTACCATAGCGACTGCAGCAGTTACCTTAGCAACGTCGATCAGTTCCGTTGCCATCTCGTCGATCTCGTCCTCGCTCTCCAGAACACTGAGGTAATCCTGGTACGACCATCCGTCCAGCAGCAGGCGAGGGACTGAGCAAACACACGCACACAATACACACACACACAACACACACGCACACAATACACACACATCAATATTCAATCCAGGCTTAAAGCTCTGAACTGTTCTGAGAGGAACTAGATTCATGGATCTAGTTACACACAGTTGCTTTTGTGGAAATGATATATATTTATGATCATTTTAGTACAACACAAAAGTATAAGTGCAGGTGAGAGAAGATAACGATCCTTTAAACAGAAGTTACATTTCAGTCTGAGGCCAAAGTTTCCGTGCTCATAAATTTGCCCAAAGCTTGAAGGTCACAAATACTCACCGATCCTCACTTTCCTGTTGGATTTACGAACAGCTTTGAGCCAACCTGAAAACACACAATTTTAGAGTTTATCGAAGCTTTATTTATTTATTTGAGCAGACAAGTTCTGCTCAAAAGGAGTGAGCCGAAGCAAGAGCTTATTGGTGCCCACCCCCAAAACACTACGATAACAGATACACATCTAAATATTTTACATAGTACAGCAACAAGAAAAGAACAGACGATAACAACAACAGTAAAGGCACAAAAAAACTTCAGGAACAACGACATGATGTATGGAAACCCCCCAAACCTGCAGCGCCCCCTAGTGTTTACTTCACAATAAACACTGTGCCCTGAATTCAATAATAATAATAATCTTTATTTATATAGCACTTTTAAAAACAGTGTTTACAAAGCGCTGCACAGTCAGCATGATAAACAATAAAAACAGTCATAATGCAAGGTCAAAATAATTAGATACAGAAACACAAAGCAAACAGAGCAAAACACAAAAGAGACTCAACAAAGACAAAGCAGACAATAAAATACAGCATCGGAAGTTTAAAACTAACAGTTAAAAGCTGTTTGATAAAAGTGGGTTTTAAGAAGAGATTTAAAAGAGGATACTGATGGTGCTAGCCTTATCTCCTCGGGCAGGTCGTTCCAAAGCCGAGGAGCCCGGACAGAGAAGGCTCGGTCACCTTTCGTCCGGAGCCTCGACCTTGGAACAGTCAACAGGGACCTGCCCGAGGATCTAAGGCTGCGGGGGGCTCGTAGGGGGTTAAAAGTTCAGAAATATAGCTTGGTGCCAGACCTAAACGAGCTTTAAAAGTAATCAGTAAAATCTTAAAATCAATTCTAAAACGCACAGGGAGCCAGTGGAGAGACGCTAAAACAGGGGTGATGTGCTCCCTTCTGTTAAAACCAGTGAGAAGTCTGGCTTCTGCGTTCTGGACCAGTTGGAGGCGGGAGAGGGATTTAGCGTTGAGATTGGAGAGAAGGGAGTTGCAGTAGTCGAGGCGGGAGAAGATGAGGGCGTTGACGACTTTATGGAGATCGGGAGGAGTGAGGATGTTTTTAATCTTTGAGATTGTGCGGAGGTGATAGAAGCAGGTTTGGGTGGTTTTATTGATGTGGGAGCGGAAAGTGAGGTGAGAATCGAAAATGACACCAAGGTTACGGGCGGAGGGAGTGATGTTTGAGGAAAGGGGGCCGAGGTGGGTTTGGATGTGGGATATAGATGGAGGCGGGTTGATGAGGAGGACTTCTGATTTGGAGGTGTTGAGCTGTAGAAAGTTATGGGCCATCCAACGGTTCACATCGTTAAAACAGTCGACCACAGCAGCCAGACTTCCAGGGTCGTTTGGTCTCAGCGGGAGGTAGATCTGTGTGTCGTCCGCATAGCAGTGGAAGGACACGTTATGACGGGCCATAACGTGTCCTAGGGGGAGCATATAAATAGAAAATAAAATGGGACCTAAAATAGAACCTTGCGGCACACCACAGGTAATGGGGGCTGTAGAGGAGGTAAAATCACCCATGGTGACCGCAAAGGTTCTGTCTAAAAGATAAGAATGAAACCAACCAAGTGGAGTATCTCTGATGCCAACCCACGTTTTGAGGCGATCCAATAAAATCATTAAAAGTACACGTTATGGAACCCAGTCTACAACACAAAGCCTCCATTCTGTTTTAGAGAGAGAGAGACCAGAGAGGGAGAGAGACCAGAGAGAGAGAGAGACCAGAGCGAGAGAGACCAGAGAGAGAGACCAGAGAGAGAGACCAGAGAGAGACCAGAGAGAGACCAGAGAGACCAGAGAGATACATATGTTTTGGATCCAATTTAAAACTTGTACAAAAGCTGAGACGTGCCTGGATCGTTGTCGTGAAGTCCAGAGACGTCGAAGGTTTCTGGGCCTCGTCTGCGAAGCTGGAGCCAAACTGGAGACAAGGAGGTCAGCTTCGGAGAGAAGAGTTTGGCCACGTCGTAACCGTGAGCGTTCCACTGGAAACACAGACAGACCATCAGCTTCTGAAGCTACAGGCAGAATCTCTCTCTTTAAAGAACATCAGCTCCATCACACCCATGATCCCTTAAGCACTCAAATGATGTTGCCCCGTATATACCCTGACCCCGAAGATACCATGGCCCCGTATATACCCTGAGCCTGTATATACCATGGCCCCGTATATACCCTGAGCCTGTATATACCATGGCCCCGTATATACCCTGAGCCTGTATATACCATGGCCCCATATATACCCTGAGCCTGCATATACCCTGGCCCCGTATATACCCTGAGCCTGTATATACCCTGAGCCTGTATATACCATGGCCCCGTATATACCCTGAGCCTGTATATACCCTGACCCCGTATATACCATGGCCCCGTATATACACTGAGCCTGTATTTACCCTGAGCCTGTATTTACCCTGAGCCCGTATATACCATGGCCCCGTATATACCCTGAGCCTGTATTTACCCTGAGCCTGTATATACCCTGACCCCGTATATACCATGGCCCCGTATATACCCTGAGCCTGTATTTACCCTGAGCCTGTATATACCATGGCCTCGTATATACCATGGCCCCGTATATACCCTGAGCCTGTATTTACCCTGAGCCTGTATATACCATGGCCTCGTATATACCATGGCCCCGTATATACCCTGAGCCTGTATTTACCCTGAGCCTGTATATACCATGGCCTCGTATATACCATGGCCCCTACCCTGACCCTCATCCCGCCCTGTGTCACATTCAAATAATTAATGGTTTTAATGTGGTCTAAAGCAGTGGTTCCCAAAGTGGGGGTCGCGGGATCTCACAGAAGGGGGTCCCGAGATGATTTCCATAAAATATCTTTTTTTTAAGTGGAACAAATATATAGCCCTTAAATATTTTTGTAGCAGTTGATTTGATGCAATATGACTTGTTAAATTGTATTTGGAGAAAATTATTATTATACTTTTTAAAATCTAAGCCAAACCCAGAGGAAGCAGAGGAAGAGGGGGCTGTGTGAAGAGAACCTGGTCCAACTGGTCGGCTTCAAGACGGCATTTATGGTTTGGAATGTTTGACAGAAAGTGCAGGAAACCTTAACTAGTGCAAAGAAGTCACAGTCTCTTATGTATTCTGTGTTTGTTGATGTTTGAGGTAGATAGCTCCACATCAGGATGTTGGTCACAATGATCCGAGTCGTCTAGTTCTATACGCTGGTGTACAGTTAAACTCACATTATTTCACAGTCCCTGGTAATCTCTTGCTAAACTCAGAGAGAGCGAGAGGAAAAACTAAAGTCACTTCTCCACGGTCTGTGCATGCCGAGTGAGATAGTGTGGAGATAGGACACTTTTGCAGACTCAAGACGCACTCTAAAAACTAAATTTTTCTCGTGTTCTCACCGGTGTGACGTATCCGAGCACTTGTCCATTGAATGTTTTCTTGATGAGAGCACAGTATCTCTTCTCCTCCCTCACTATCTCCTTCCATTGTGGATCTGACACCACCAGCCCTCTCTGCAGCACTGTGAGCTCTGAAGGAGAACTCTGGGAACAAAGCAGCATTGATATTGTCATTGGAAGTAATCAGAAAATGAATGAAAATGAATTTGATGCACTTACAGCTGTCAAAATGTCTTACCTCAACTTCAACTTTCTGATTCTTCTTTGCATCTGTTTTTGAGAGAGTGCCATTGACAGGACAACAGCAGCAGAAGGTGAGCAATAACAAGACCAGCGTGGGGTTCATGTCCAGACTGAGCCAAACCAGTGATGTTCACGAGTGAAACTGTCGATGCAAAGATGTGCAGCAGTCTGTGTGTAAAGCCCGGTGTCCTTCCTGGTTGTGAAGGGGGAGAGTGAGCAGCCGCATGTCAGAGTGAGCTGTGATCTGCAACTGGATTCTTTATCTGCCACAAATGTGCAGATAAACAGTGACAGCTCAGCGCACGAGCGGCTCTGCACACTTCCGCATTCAGCCGCTTAGCCATCTAGATTGCCGCGTCAACGTGCGTGACCCCTAAAAACCCAGATATACATCAAGCTCAAGCAGGAACGACATTTTTAATATACATCTATTTCTACATATTTAATTGTTATTTTAATTTTAAAAAGCTAAAAGTATTTAAAACATATTTTACAATTTGTTTTCATTTTTGTTTTATTAATGCAAACAATACAAGTAAATCCGGTACCTTTCATAATAATTAAACAGAAAGACAAAGCAATACACAAATACAATTAAACAAAACTTTCACAAATGTCATCTTCTAGATTTACTTCCTGGTAGCATGACGCTAGAGATGTTGCATACTGTTACCTAGCAACAAGGAAAACCCAACTGGACCAAGACTTAGAAATTAGTGTTTTAACGAATTTGTTTATGAGAATATATACTTATTTAGATAATTTAATCGTGTTAAGTATAAAACATAGTGAAGTAACCCCCTTACGAAATGCCAACAGTTCCTGCGCTACTTCCGCCGCATACATTCACAAGATGGCCGCCGAAAATATCATAGCAATAGAATCTCCCTCTAGACTTTTATCACACTCATAATGGCTGCTCACATGCTGCTGCTTCACTTCATAAAACAGACTAGTTAGTTTCCTTCTCTGTCATTAAAACAATTACATTTCTTACTCATCCCGAGGTACGTAACCTAAGTGTTTATTAACGGGCATAGTCCACATGTTTTACACGTTGTCGTCCACATGTTTGCTAGTTAGCTAAAACTGAAAGAATAATGTGAGCTAGCTTGTGGTGTTTACTACTCAACAGCATCAATAATCTGCCTTTTTAAATCTTTTTCCACTGTTAGAGCTGTCAGAACGTTTCCATCTGGTTTATTTTTTCTTATTATGAAGTCACTGCTATAGACTGCACATATTAGGTTGCAACACTTAAATGACTTAAATGAAGTGACAACAGTATCAAAACACAATGGCATTCAAAATACTATTCTTATTCTACACTTTAATCTCTTTAAGTTAACAGTTTGATTTAAGTAATATGTCATATATAGTTAAAGTATTATTGCAATACGATTGTTTGGTGTAATTTCTTATTGACTCTTTGACAATGTGACAACCCGGTGTCTTGTTGTAGTGAGTGAAGATGACGGTGGAAGAGTTTGTTTACAAGACTTTGGAACTTCTTCAGGAGGAGAGAGAGGCAGAGATACAGGAGACAAGGTATGAGCAAACACAGAATGTAAAAAATTGCGTAAGATGTCTTTTTAAAACACAGAGCCTTACAGTGTATTGGTGTATCATGTTTCTTCAGAGCTCCCCTGCACGCATGTTGTGATGGTTTGTTGTGTGTTCTCTCGTTCATACAGACTGTATCAGGAGAATGTGTCCCTGAAGGAGCTGCAGAGTAAAGGCGTGTGTCTCCTGAAGCTGCAGGTGAAGTCTCAGTCCACCGGTCTCTATGGACGCACCGTGGTGGTCTTCGAACCCAGGAAACATGTGGCTGCTCTGCCCAGCAACGGCTTCAGTCCAGGTAACGCCACACATCATCCTCTGGTCTCTCTCTGGTCTCTCTCTGGTCTCTCTCTGGTCTCTGTCTGGTCTCTCTCTGGTCTCTCTCTGGTCTCTCTGAGTGTCTTTCACTCTGGTCACTCTTTCTTTTCTCTCTCTCTGCTCTCTCTGCTTTCTATGGTCTCTCTCTCTGTTCTCTCTCTCTGGTCTCTCCCTCTGGTCTCACCCTCTGGTCTCACTCTCTAGTCTCTCTCTGTTTTTTCACTCTGTTCTCTCTTTGGTCTCTCACTCACTGTTCTCTCTCTATGGTCTCTCTCTCTCTGCTCTCTCATGGTCTCTAGGGTCTCTCTCTGCTCTCTCTCTCTCACTCTCTCTCAGTGTTAGAAGGAGCGCTACCGCAGGGCCTTTATCCCCACCACTGTCAGACTGTACAACAAGTCACTTTAAAGGAATAGTTCACCGTTTTTACATACTGACATATGTTCTTACCTTACCTTAGACTAGTTAATACGTACCTGTCTGGTCTTAGTCCGTGCGCTCTGTCATGCACAAACGCATGGGAGCACAAACGCAGCCTCCTCTGTATATTTTGTAGCACCAAAAGGTAGCTCCCGCTAGAAGCTACCAAACTCTTCCAAGTGTTCCCTATTAAATGTATATAGTTACGTGACGTGTTACACTGCAAAGTATAGTAACACAGAAATGTAACAGTCGATTTTCTCAGCGGATAAAACGGGTACTATATTGTGAGGCGTAGTAATCTGAGGGGCGCTACGTCCGCGCACTAACTTCTCTCCGGAGACTTCTCTCTCGCTGCTACTGTGTGTACTACAAGTCACGCTGCTTCTATTGACGGAAGTGAGCGAGAGAGAAGTCTATTAACACTGTTTTTGATTGCCACTTTTAAATTTTTTATTGTACATAATAATATGGATAGTGTTTCTATCCATGCCAAATGTGACATGTACATTTCTCCTTTGTGAGATAAATAAAGCATATCTTATCTTATCTCTGTTCTCTCTCTCTGGACTCTCTCTTATCCCCTGTGTGTTTTCTCCTTCTTCAGGAGACATTCTGGGCCTGTACGACAGTGGAGGCTGCAGTGCTGCGTCTCAGCTCGGCTCTGGGATCGTGACTCGAGTCTCTCAGTCTGCGGTCAGTGTGGCGTTTGACGACGGCCTCACGGTGGACAGCGACTCTCTGTACAACCTCCTGAAACTGGCCAACGACGTCACGTACAAACGCATGAAGAAGTAAGACACGTTTATGGACATGGGCCTCTGCTCCTTATGGACCAATGGTGTGTGAACTGTTCTCTGTGGTGGTGAATTCAATGGTTTTGTAAAGTCCTATTAACGACTGTTGTGATTTAGGGCGATACACAAACGCATTTAATTAAAATGAGATATAGGGTCAGGTGTCGTTGTGTCCCTGGGCAAGACACTTAACCCCACATTGCCTGAAGCCCCCGCTGAAAGACCAAGGCCATGTCTTCGATGACATGGCCATCACATCATCTGTGGACCCACCACCTGCTGGAGGATCAGCGAGGGACTGGTGCATTGAGACTTGTGTGGCAGCTCTGATTGCCCCCCCCCCCCCCCCCGCCCCAACCCTGAAATGTATTAATAAAGGGGTAGAACATGACATGACAGATAGGATCAGGGTTAGAAATGTGTCTAAACAGGTACTGATGATGTTTCTTTCACAGTGCTTTGAACCTGTTGAATGGCTACAGTCACGGACCTGCGGGCGCGCTCATAAACGTCCTGTTTGGAGATTCTCAACCATCATCCATGAGAACCAAGTGTGGTGAGTGAGCGGACGAAGCAGAGATAGTTAGTTAGTTAGTTAAATAACAATTATAATGAAAAACACGTCACAAGTTTTAAAAAGGGGGTTGGGTGAAGCAGACACTGATAACTTTCCAAATATGTGTGGATAATGTCAGAATGTGCAAATATAGAACCACATGTGTTATTATATATTATATATAGTTCTGTACTAGAATATACAAGATTTATACTTGCTTCTTCATTATGCTAAAGCTCATTCCTTCTGTCCCGTGGAACCCATAAAGGAACTCTGCTTCTTCTTATTTCTTGCAGATGAAATAAAACTCTTGAACCCGAACCTGGACGAGTCTCAGAGAGAAGCCGTGTCTTTCGCTCTGTCCCAAAAGGAGCTGGCGATAATCCACGGTCCTCCGGGAACCGGGAAAACCACCACCGTCGTCGAGGTCATTCTGCAGCTCGTTAAACTGGGAAACAAGGTCAGTTTAGGAGCAAAGCTATCCGGCACAACAACAGTTCGGACACAGACGGTTTATGGATGGAATCAGAGATATTCAAACTAAGACATGAAAACTTGACATACTCTATTCATCTTATAACAAAACATGTTACGAGCCCCGTGAGTCACTATTTGACTCTTTGTGCTGAGTGATAGCCTGGTCTTACCACACCATTGTACTCATTTCTTTTTGATCTGGATTTGCTCCATTGAGTCCGTTAACAGGTGGGAGGGGTTAACTCCTTTTACAGATTGAAACGATTGGATCTGAGTTTACTGTGACGTGTGTAATGAGCTCGAGTGAGTCGTTAGCATTTAGCCTAGCTTTAGCCATCTCCTTTGCTGCTAACGGAGCCCGTGGGGAGTAGAGCCACAACAACTTTGCTTCAATGACATTTGTTAAACATTCCTCTTGCTCCTGCTTCAATTTCTTGATATTTGGATTGAACCAGAACAGATTATTTTACTATCACATTGTCCGACCAACTACAACTCGCAAATTCTGCTCAAACCCTTGACTTGGATTAGACCCAGACGCACATGTAGGAAATGATCATGGACCAGAGTTTAGAATAGGGCACTGTCCGGTTTCCGAAATGTGCTAAAAATAGTTCCAATGACTGCGCATGCGCGCATGTTTCGGACAAACTCAGTCCGACTCCGTTGAGTACTACTGTGTTCTCCACATAAGCGTGTGTATTTATTTGGGCTAAATCATTGAATCATGGTGACAACAAAACACTGCAGTTATGGTGCTTGTGGGAGCGATTTCAGATACTCTGAAAAGGACTATATGAAAGCAGTAACATTCAACCTGTTCGTTAAACCACACCATCGAACCAGACCAGGACCAGACCAGGACCAGACCAGGACAAGTGCAAGAGGTGGGTGCTTGTGGTCAGCAGAATTTCTCTCATGAAAATGTTAAAAAGGACATGTTTTTTCACTTCGCTGGACCAACTGTGGAGCCTCCAGATCCAGTCCTAGCTACGTTTAGCTGGGACTGGACCTGGACCGCTGTATCAGGTCCGTCTGAGCTCTTCTGAATGTAGTTAGCCCCATCAATCCATATTAGTATTGTTTGTCCTAATCCAGAATGTATACAATTCTCACACCTGAAGAAAGATGAGAGGGATTTTTTCAACTTCGTGACTATCGGAAAATAAGCACAGACGAAGCGCGTTGGGGTCCGCTTATTATACGGCTTTGTACCAACTGAACACACAAAATAAACTTCTGTCACTATTCATGCCAAAAGGTTTATTTAATGAGTGCAAAGAAAATAGTTCCCAAAGGTTTTAGTTCACCTACTTTAAAAAAGCGATCGCTTTAGTCGCATTAAAAAAGTATTTTTGTCATGAAAACCTTAACAGATAATTCTGAAAACCTCTGTGCACGTGTGTTGTATGAATATTATATTCTAGCATTAACATTTAAATATGTTGATTGATTGTCGTTTGCGTTTACTGAGTGTGGCTAGCTCCGATAGTTTCTCTCTCAGAGACAGTAGTGGTGTAGCCCGTTGTGACCCCATGGATCTATTATAATATCGGCTGACTGTAGTTAACTAAATGATCAAACTAATTACGAAATGGACAGTACAAAAAACAACTTGATAAATGGAAGTTAATCAGAGCAAAATAAACAAAGAAGGCGCTAACATTGCAATTTAAATGACTAGATAATGTTAGCATAATCCTCACCATTACCTTTTTATCAAATCAAACTTTCTACCAGTTACTGGAAGACCACGACATTCAAGCCAACGTTTTAATTGGTCTACACTATGATCCCTGATGGTTTGATGGTGGAATTTTGCCCCTGGTTTATCATTTTCGTCTAAAGTGACAAGAGGTATTTGATTCATTTTGGCAGTGTTTGTCCGAAACATGTGGGCGGGAGTTGACAGGCGGCGGGGGCGTGTCTTAGTGACGTCATTCAGATAGTTCGCTATGGATAAGACCATGGTAGCTGAGTTAGAGTGGTCCTCTCTTGTCTGAAAAAGCAGATCTCATCATGTGTTGCTTCCAAACACATGATGGAAGCAGTTTCAGATTAGATTGAAAGTTGTGTACCCCAGCTTTAATGTCTCTCTGCATATGTGTGTGTTTTATGGTGTGTGTGTGTTGCAGGTGCTGTGTTGTGCGGCCTCTAACGTGGCCGTAGATAACCTGGTGGAGAGACTGGCCCAGTGCAAGTCCAGGGTGGTGCGTCTGGGTCATCCCGCTCGGTTACTGGAGTCGATTCAGAAACACAGTCTGGACGCGGTGCTCGCTCACAGCAGCAGCAGCAGCATCATCACCGACATCCGCCACGACATGGACCAGGCCCTGGTCAGGACTCCTCTTTAGTTATCTGTCATTTCCAACTCGAGGTTAAACACAGACTCTGTTCTTCTTTATTTCATGCTTTTTGTTCAGATGGCGATGAAGAAGAACAAAGGAGAACGCAGCGATCTGAAAAGGGAAATGGGAGAACTGAGAAAAGAGCTGAGGACCCGAGAAGCCGCCGCCATCTCAGAGATTCTGAAAACAGCTGACGTGGTTCTGGCCACAAACACAGGTCTGTCTCCATCATCTGCATGGAATATTTATTATTATTATTATTGTTGTTATTGTCATTGTTATTATTATTATTATTGTTGTTATTGTCATTGTTATTATTGTTATTATTATTGTCATTGTTATTATTATTATTATTATTATTATTGTTGTTATTGTCATTGTTATTATTGTTATTATTATTGTCATTGTTATTGTTATTATTATTGTCATTGTTATTATTATTATTATTATTATTATTATCGTTGTTATTATTGTTCTTAGTATTATTATTGTTATTGTCACTGTCTCTCCTGTCTCACTGTGCCTCACTTGTCTCACTTGTCTCACCCGCCTCACCTGCCTCACTGCCTCACTTGTCTCACTTGTCTCACCTGCCTCACCTGCCTCACCTGTCTCACCTGCCTCACTTGTCTCACTTGTCTCACTTGTCTCACTTGTCTCACCTGCCTCACCTGTCTCACCTGTCTCACCTGCCTCACTTGTCTCACTTGTCTCACCTGTCTCACTTGTCTCACTTGTCTCACCTGCCTCACTTGTCTCACTTGTCTCACTTGTCTCACCTGCCTCACTTGTCTCACTTGTCTCACTTGTCTCACCTGCCTCACTTGTCTCACTTGTCTCACCTGTCTCACCTGCCTCACTTGTCTCACTTGTCTCACTTGTCTCACCTGTCTCACTTGTCTCACCTGCCTCACCTGTCTCACCTGCCTCACCTGTCTCACTTGTCTCACTTGTCTCACCCGCCTCACCTGCCTCACTGCCTCACTTGTCTCACTTGTCTCACCTGCCTCACCTGCCTCACCTGTCTCACTTGTCTCACCTGTCTCACCTGCCTCACCTGCCTCACTTGTCTCACTTGTCTCACCTGCCTCACCTGTCTCACCTGCCTCACCTGCCTCACCTGTCTCACCTGCCTCACTTGTCTCACTTGTCTCACCTGCCTCACCTGCCTCACCTGCCTCACTTGTCTCACCTGCCTCACTTGTCTCACTTGTCTCACCTGCCTCACTTGTCTCACTTGTCTCACCTGCCTCACCTGTCTCACTTGTCTCACCTGCCTCACTTGTCTCACTTGTCTCACTTGTCTCACCTGCCTCACTTGTCTCACCTGCCTCACCTGCCTCACCTGTCTCACCTGCCTCACTTGTCTCACTTGTCTCACTTGTCTCACCTGTCTCACTTGTCTCACCTGCCTCACCTGTCTCACCTGCCTCACCTGTCTCACTTGTCTCACCTGCCTCACCTGCCTCACCTGCCTCACCTGCCTCACCTGCCTCACCTGTTTCACTTGTCTCACTTGTCTCACTTGTCTCACCTGCCTCACCTGCCTCACTTGTCTCACTTGTCTCACTTGTCTCACTTGTCTCACTTGTCTCACTTGTCTCACTTGTCTCACCTGCCTCACCTGCCTCACCTGCCTCACCTGCCTCACCTGTCTCACCTGTCTCACCTGTCTCACCTGTCTCACCTGCCTCACTTGTCTCACTTGTCTCACCTGCCTCACCTGTCTCACCTGCCTCACTTGTCTCACTTGTCTCACCTGCCTCACCTGTCTCACCTGCCTCACTTGTCTCACTTGTCTCACCTGCCTCACCTGTCTCACCTGCCTCACTTGTCTCACTTGTCTCACTTGTCTCACCTGCCTCACCTGTCTCACCTGTCTCACCTGTCTCACCTGTCTCACCTGTCTCACCTGTCTCACCTGTCTCACCTGTCTCACCTGTCTCACTTGTCTCACTTGTCTCACCTGCCTCACCTGCCTCACCTGTCTCACCTGTCTCACTTGTCTCACTTGTCTCACCTGCCTCACCTGCCTCACCTGTCTCCATTGTCTCCATTGTCTCCATTGTCTCACTTGTCTCACTTGTCTCACCTGCCTCACCTGCCTCACTTGTCTCACCTGCCTCACCTGCCTCACCTGCCTCACCTGCCTCACCTGCCTCACCTGTCTCACTTGTCTCACTTGTCTCACCTGCCTCACCTGCCTCACCTGTCTCCATTGTCTCCATTGTCTCCATTGTCTCACTTGTCTCACTTGTCTCACCTGCCTCACCTGCCTCACTTGTCTCACTTGTCTCACCTGTCTCACCTGCCTCACTTGTCTCACTTGTCTCACCTGCCTCACCTGCCTCACTTGTCTCACTTGTCTCACTTGTCTCACCTGTCTCACCTGCCTCACCTGTCTCACCTGCCTCACCTGTCTCACCTGCCTCACTTGTCTCACTTGTCTCACTTGTCTCACTTGTCTCACCTGTCTCACCTGCCTCACCTGTCTCACTTGTCTCACCTGCCTCGCCTGTCTCACCTGCCTCACTTGTCTCACTTGTCTCACCTGCCTCACCTGCCTCACCTGCCTCATCTGTCTCACTTGTCTCACTTGTCTCACCCGCCTCACCTGCCTCACTGCCTCACTTGTCTCACCTGCCTCACCTGTCTCACTGTGTCCTTGTGTGTGCAGGTGCCTGTGGTGAGGGGCCCCTGAAGCACGTGGCCCTTGATCACTTTGACGTGGTGGTGATAGACGAGTGTGCCCAGGCTCTGGAGGGCAGCTGCTGGATCCCTCTGCTCCGCGCCCCCAAGTGTGTCCTGGCGGGCGACTACAAACAGCTGCCCCCCACCATCAAGTCCCAGAGGTGAAGGACTGCGACATCACCACCGTGTTAGCCTTAGACAGAAGCTAGCTGGAGCCAACTTCCTTATATGGGCATATGTTCTGACGTGTTGCTAAGATGGTTGCTAAGGCAAGCTGGAGTTTCTCATGCGAATGAAGGCATCTGATTGGTCAATCGTTATGGCTCATTTCTAGATTTACAAAATTAGTTTGACCCAGTATCTGTGTGTCATTTGACCCAGTATCTGTGTGTCAATTGACCCAGTATATGTGTCATTTGACTCCATATCTGTGTGTTATTTGACCCAGTGTCTCTGTGTGTATTTGCCCCAGTGTCTGTCTGTCTGCATTTGACCCACCCTCTGTGCATTTCCCCCAGTTTCTGTCTGTGTATATGACCCAGTGTCTGCATTTGCCCCAGTGTCTGTCTGTGTATTTGACCCACCCTCTGTGCATTTGCCCCAGTTTCTGTCTGTGTATATGACCCAGTGTCTGCATTTGCCCCAGTGTCTGTCTGTGTATTTGACCCACCCTCTGTGCATTTGCCCCAGTTTCTGTCTGTGTATATGACCCAGTGTCTGCATTTGCCCCAGTGTCTGTGTATTTGACCCAGCCTCTGTGCATTTGCCCCAGTGTCTGTCTGTGTATTTGACCCACCCTCTGTGCATTTGCCCCAGTTTCTGTCTGTGTATATGACCCAGTGTCTGCATTTGCCCCAGTGTCTGTCTGTGTATTTGACCCACCCTCTGTGCATTTGCCCCAGTTTCTGTCTGTGTATATGACCCAGTATCTGCATTTGCCCCAGTGTCTGTGTATTTGACCCAGCCTCTGTGCATTTTCCCTAGTGTCTGTCTGTGTATTTGACCCAGCCTCTGTGTCATTTGCCCCAGTGTCTGTCTGTGCATTTGCCCCACCCTCTGTGCATTTCCCCCAGTTTCTGTCTGTGTATATGACCCAGTGTCTGCATTTGCCCCAGTGTCTGTCTGTGTATTTGACCCACCCTCTGTGCATTTGCCCCAGTTTCTGTCTGTGTATATGACCCAGTGTCTGCATTTGCCCCAGTGTCTGTCTGTGTATTTGACCCACCCTCTGTGCATTTGCCCCAGTTTCTGTCTGTGTATATGACCCAGTGTCTGCATTTGCCCCAGTGTCTGTGTATTTGACCCAGCCTCTGTGCATTTGCCCCAGTGTCTGTCTGTGTATTTGACCCACCCTCTGTGCATTTGCCCCAGTTTCTGTCTGTGTATATGACCCAGTGTCTGCATTTGCCCCAGTGTCTGTCTGTGTATTTGACCCACCCTCTGTGCATTTGCCCCAGTTTCTGTCTGTGTATATGACCCAGTATCTGCATTTGCCCCAGTGTCTGTGTATTTGACCCAGCCTCTGTGCATTTTCCCTAGTGTCTGTCTGTGTATTTGACCCAGCCTCTGTGTCATTTGCCCCAGTGTCTGTCTGTGCATTTGCCCCACCCTCTGTGCATTTCCCCCAGTTTCTGTCTGTGTATATGACCCAGTGTCTGCATTTGCCCCATTGTCTGTCTGTGTATTTGACCCACCCTCTGTGCATTTGCCCCAGTTTCTGTCTGTGTATATGACCCAGTGTCTGCATTTGCCCCAGTGTCTGTGTATTTGACCCAGCCTCTGTGCATTTGCCCCAGTGTCTGTCTGTGTATTTGACCCAGCCTCTGTGCATTTGCCCCAGTGCTGCCTCCAAAGGCCTGGCCCTGAGCCTGATGGAGAGGCAGGTGCAGCTGTACGGACCCGCAGTGTTCCGGATGCTGACGGTTCAGTACAGGATGAACCGTGACATCATGGACTGGGCGTCGACACAGATGTACGAGAGCCGCCTCCGCGCTCACGCCTCCGTCCAGGACCATCTGCTGCGGTGACTACGGCTATACTGTTTATTACTGATGCTTTAGAGTTGTTTAGAAAAGTTACATTGAGATTCAGGATATTTGCCGTTGAAAATACTGTGCCAGACTCTATCAGTGTGCGAGACAGAGACCAGAGAGAGAGAGACCAGAGAGAGAAAGACCAGAGAGAGAGAGACCAGAGATAGAGAGAGACCAGAGAGAGAGGGAGACAAGGGAGAGAGAGAGACCAGAGAGAGAGACCAGAGAGAGGGAGGGAGACCAGAGAGAGAGAGACCAGAGAGAGAAAGACCAGAGAGAGAAAGACCAGAGAGAGAGAGACCAGAGATAGAGAGAGACCAGAGAGAGAGGGAGACAAGGGAGAGAGAGAGACCAGAGAGAGAGAGACCAGAGAGAGAGAGACCAGAGAGAGAGACCAGAGAGAGGGAGGGAGACCAGAGAGAGAGGGAGACCAGAGATAGAGAGAGACCAGAGAGAGAGACCAGAGAGAGGGAGGGAGACCAGAGAGAGAGGGAGACCAGCGAGAGAGATCAGAGAGAGGGAGGGAGACCAGAGAGAGAGGGAGACCAGCGAGAGAGAGGGAGACCAGCGAGACCAGAGAGAGAGAGGGAGACCAGCGAGAGAGAGGGAGACCAGAGAGACTTACCCCAGTCCTTAAAGCGTCAGTAAAGCATGAAATGTGTTGTTAAAGTATAATAAATGTTGTTTTTGAGCAGAGACTTGGCCGGAGTGACCAGCGGAGAGGAGACGGACACCCCCCTGCTCCTGATCGACACGGCGGGATGTGGACTCAACGAGACCGAGGACCCAGACGAGCTCTCCAAAGGGAATCCAGGTCCGGTCCCTGAAGAATGTTAGGGTCTGATTCCCACAGATGTCACAGTTGGTTTGGTCCTCAGGTGAAGTGGACGTAGTGGAGCTGCACATCAAGGCCCTGACGGAGGCGGGAGTTCAAGATAAAGACATCGCAGTTATCGCTCCCTACAATTTACAAGTGAGTGATGTAGCTCTAACTTATCTCTAACATCTTTACAGAACCAGTTACTATACTATGTGCAGGTTCTGGGCTTTTGTAGTTGGAGGCGAAGTAAAAAATAAGCAATCTTCCTCTCGACAGGTTTCCTCTGAGCCTGGTCTCTCTGGTCTTTCTCCAGTCTCTCTGTAGTCTCTCTCTGGTCTCTCTCGGGTCTCTCTCTGGCCTCTCTCTCTGGCCTCTCTCTCTGGTCTCGCTCTCTCTCTGGCTTCTTTCTTCTCTCTCTCTGGTCTCTCTGGTCTCGCTCTAGCCTCTTTCTGGTCTCTCTCTCTCTGGTCTCTCTCTGGTCTCGCTCTCTCTCTGGCTTCTTTCTTCTCTCTCTCTGGTCTCTCTCTGGTCTCTCTCTGGTCTCGCTCTGGTCTCTCTCTCTCTGGTCTCTCTCTGGTCTCTCTCTCTCTGGTCTCTCTCTCTCTCTATCCCCGGTATCTCTGGTCTCTCTCTGGTCTCGCTCTGGTCTCTCTCTCTCTCTCTGGTCTCTCTGGTCTCTCTCTGGTCTCTCTGGTCTCTCTCTGGTCTCGCTCTGGTCTCTCTCGTCTCACTTTCTCTCTCTCTCTCTCTCTCTGGCCTCTCTGGTCTCTCTGCTTTCTCTCTGGTCTCTCTCTGGTCTCTCTCTGCTCTCTCTCTGGTCTCTCTCTGCTCTCTCTCTGCTCGGTCTCGCTCTGGTCTCTCTTGTGGATTTAAAGTGCTGTGTTGTGGGTTTAGGTGGACCTCCTGAGGCAGAGGCTCTCTGCTCGACACCCACATCTGGAGATCAAGTCTGTGGATGGATTTCAGGGCCGAGAGAAAGAGGCTGTGGTTCTGTCTTTGGTCCGATCCAACAGGAAAGGTGCCGTACACGTGTCTCATTAGGGTCTAAAAGGGTCTAAAAGGGTCTAAATCACAGATAGAAGCATTTATAGCTAGGTAAGAATGTAGAATATATGTTGTGTGCTCTTACTGCTGTCCTGTGCGCTGCAACATCAAAAATATCCCCACTGTAAAGGTTCTTTTATCTTATCAAACAGACACAGACTGACTTTTAAGTTCACAAAAGAATAAATTTTAATCTAAAAAGATGATTTGTTCACAGCATTTAACTCTTACTGATACGTCTTAATGTCCATGGGAGAGGAGGAGAGGGGAGAGGGGAGAGGAAGGGGGAGAGGGGAGAGGACAAACACAGACTGACTTAAGTTCAAGAACATGTTTAATAAGATGAAGATGATTTGTTTACACATGTGTGTCTTAGTAACATGTGTTCTCTCTGACAGAGTTAGGCTCCTCAGCTTTAAGGATCTTTACATGACTCCTTGTCTCTTGTCTTCAGGTGAAGTCGGGTTCCTGTCGGAGAACCGCAGGCTGAACGTGGCGGTGACTCGAGCCCGGCGCCACATCGCGGTGGTGTGCGACACTCAGACCGTCCAGACCCACCCTTTCCTCAAGTCTCTGGTGGATCACATGACCCGGCGAGGACAGGTCCGCACCGCCTTCGAGTATCTGCCCGACATCGTCCCTCAGAACTACACTCGAGAAAGCAAGGACGCCAAACCAAAAGCATCCGCAAAGTCCACCTCAGCGGGAGAGAAGGCGAGAGAGAGACCCCAAAGAGAGAGAGCAGAGCGGAGGAAGACCGAGGCAGGAAGTGAGAGCGATTCTAAACCTCTCACTAAGAACCAGGATGAAAGCAGATCTGTGGACATCAGGAAGCAGCTGGAGGCGTTCAAGGAGGACGCTACGCAAACTCTACTTCAGTTTCCACCGTCACTGAATTCTCACGACCGAATGTTGGTGCACAAGTTCTCTGAGGAACTGGGACTGCAGCACGAGAGCAGAGGAGAGGGGAAAGACCGCTGTGTCTCTGTGGCCAAGCAGACCACAGAGGACAAGTCCAGACAGACCAGAGAGGGAGAGACCAGAGAGACCAGAGAGGGAGAGACCAGAGAGACCAGAGAGGGAGAGACCAAAGAGACCAGAGAGGGAGAGACCAAAGAGACCAGAGAGACCAGAGAAGGAGACACTAAAGAGACCAGAGAGGAGAAATCCATAGAACTGAGCCAGAAGAAGGAGGAGGTGAAAGTTGAAGAAGACCGTATCCAGGATCCAGTCACACAGACTTCTATAGATCTGAAGAGTCTTCATCTGGAGCGAATGAAACGGGAGCAGCAGAAACGTGAGGAGAACGCGAAGCAGAAGAAACAGCCTCAGAGCAAAAAGACGAAAGGTGAGCAGCGAGAAAACATTTTGTGAAGCTAAGAAGCAGACCCAATGCTAACGTGTTGTTGTGATTGTGAAGCTAAGAAGCAGACCCAATGCTAACGTGTTGTTGTGATTGTGTAGCTAAGAAGCAGACCCAATGCTAACGTGTTGTTGTGATTGTGTAACTAAGAAGCAGACCCAATGCTAACGTGTTGTTGTGATTGTGAAGCTAAGAAGCAGACCCAATGCTAACGTGTTGTTGTGATTGTGTAGCTAAGAAGCAGACCCAATGCTAACGTGTTGTTGTGATTGTGTAGCTAAGAAGCAGACGAAGGCGGGAGTGAGTGAGATCGCGGCCTCCTCCTCCGCAGACACAGACCTGGACTCGCTCCTCTCTGCGGTGGCGAAGGCTGAGAGCGTCTGCAGCTTCATCAGGTGCAAGGCCTCGGTCCTGACGCTCGGACAACTCTGTGGGTTCTGTAGGAGGCAGTTCTGTCTCAGCCATCACATCCCAGAGGTGAGAGAGAGGAGGGGGAGAGAGGGGGGACGAGGGGGAGGTGAGAGGCACAGAGGAGACGTGGGGGGGTGAGAGACACATCCCAGAGGTGAGAGAGAGGAGGGGGAGAGAGGGGGGACGAGGGGGAGGTGAGAGGCACAGAGGAGACGTGGGGGTGAGAGACACATCCCAGAGGTGAGAGAGACAGGGGAGAGAGAAGAGGAGGGGGGGAATGAGAGGAGGGAGGACAAAGAGGGAGGGGGAAGAGGACAGAGAGGGTAGAAGAGTGAGGAGAGAGGATGTGCAGCCCCAGCCCAGAGGTCAGAGGTCGTAGGGTAAGCTGTTAGATTTTTAAAAGAACAAAACACTTTGAGGATAGACCTACTTTTTGTTAATAATTCAGATTTGATCAGTTTCCCAGTATTTGGATTATCCCTTTTTGTATTTATGACCAAAATAAAACTCTCTCTCGCTCTGATGCAGGTCCACGGCTGCGGGGACATGGCCAAGTCTCACGCCAGGATGAGGATCAGTAAAGAGGGAGTGCTTTTTGCCGGCAGCGGGAAAAAGGACAATTCAATGGACCCCAATAAGAAAGCATATCTGCACAGGAAGCTGGACTCTAAACTCAAGGATCTGGCAACGCAGAGGAAGACCAAGAGCAAAGAGAAGGAGGGTTAAGGACCTGGCAACGCAGAGGAAGACCAGGAGAAGGAGGGGTAAGGACCTGGACTGGGGCTTATTTATTGTTATGAACATGTGGATCTTACAATAAAGACAATGACTCTAAAGGTTCGAGGTGTTCTTTAAAATACAGGAAAACTGTGGGTAACACTTTCGTACTTCACCAGTGAGATTAGCTCCACACGGTGAGTTCTGGCGCCCGGAACACAGACTTTCTGATTGGTGAAACAGTGGAGGGCGGGACATCGAAATGAAAACAATAACAAGATTTAGGGGCTGGAAAAGTAATTTAGAAATTCAAATATCTCTGAACTACTGTTTTCAGTTAAAGAAGTATTGGAAAAGAGCAGTTTATTATTATAACATATTAGGGCCCTTTAATGACAGATTAGGGCCCTTTAATGATGACAGATTGGGCCTTTTAATGATGACAGATTAGGGCCCTTTAATGATGACAGATTAGGGCCCTTTAATGATGACAGATTAGGGCCCTTTAATGACGACGGATTAGGGCCCTTTAATGACGACAGATTAGGGCCCTTTAATGATGACAGATTAGGGCCCTTTAATGACGACAGATTAGGGCCCTTTAATGACAGATTTGGCCCTTTAATGATGACAGATTAGGGCCCTTTAATGATGACAGATTAGAGCCCTTTAATGACGACAGATTAGGGCCCTTTAATGAGGACAGATTAGGGCCCTTTAATGAGGACAGATTAGGGCCCTTTAATGAGGACAGATTAGTTTAGTCCATGAGCAGAGAGATGCTGTGGCCGCAGATGCCCAGGGGGCAGGACAGCGCCCCCTCCTGGTACAGTCCTGGCGAGAAGTACGGAAAGATCTTCTCTGTGAACTTGTCCTTGAACATGTGCATCACCGTCCTGTCCGTGTCGTTCACAAACGCCACTTTCCCTTTCCCATAATCCACCTCCACCGTGACCGTCTGCGGCGGCTGCTTCACCGTGAGTCTGCTGCGGCTCGCCGTCTGCGCCCAGTACGAGTCTCTGCCCGTCCTCCCGATTACCCAGAAGCCCTCCGCCGGCTCCAGGAACACCGTGCTCTTTCTCTGGATGGACTCCCGGGCCACGCCGATGTACCAATCCTGGCCCTGCCCCACGTCCACGGTCCAGCAATGGCGCCCGCTGCTGAAGCCGGGGGTCCCCAGAACGCACACCCTATTCACGCAGCGCTCGGGGGTCTCTGGGACTGGGGTCTTGCTGCTGTAGCGGACACAGAGAGAGACCGGGGGGTTCTCGGGGACCGGGATCCTGCTGCTGTAGCGGACACAGGTCAGAGACTCGGAGAAGATGAGGTTGGACTGAGCCGTGTTGGGGTCAAAGGTGACAGGAGCTGACGGGAGCAGACGGGTTTATTTGTATGACACGGGTATGACAGCGGCTGCTACAGTGATTTACTGTACAGGAGAGACTATACAGAGAGAGAGACCAGAGAGAGAGAGACCAGAGAGAGAGAGACCAGAGAGAGAGAGAGAGAGACCAGAGAGAGAGAGACCAGAGAGAGAGAGACCAGAGAGAGAGAGACCAGAGAGAGAGAGACCAGAGAGAGAGAGACCAGAGAGAGAGAGACCAGAGAGAGAGAGACCAGAGAGAGAGAGACCAGAGAGAGAGAGACCAGAGAGAGAGAGACCAGAGAGAGAGAGACCAGAGAGAGAGAGACCAGAGAGAGAGAGACCAGAGAGAGAGACCAGAGAGAGAGAGACCAGAGAGAGAGAGACCAGAGAGAGAGAGACCAGAGAGAGAGAGACCAGAGAGAGAGAGACCAGAGAGAGAGAGCCCAGAGAGAGAGAGCCCAGAGAGAGAGAGCCCAGAGAGAGAGAGCCCAGAGAGAGAGAGCCCAGAGAGAGAGAGCCCAGAGAGAGAGACCAGAGAGAGAGACCAGAGAGAGAGACCCCAGAGAGAGAGACCAGAGAGAGAGAGACCAGAGAGAGAGACCAGAGAGAGAGACCACAGAGAGACCAAGTGGAGTTTTACAAAGTATGAAATAAATACTGACGACGTCTTGAATCTGAGACTCACCAAATTTGACGATGTTTTTCATTTTCTTCCAAACCTGGAACTTTAGAATTCCCAAATGTGAGGCAGAGTTGATCAGGATGTCCCTCAGACACACGGGCTCCAGGACGTTACTCCTGGAACTGAGACAAAGATTTACATTTGAAAATATCCCTTTTATAGTCAGACTCTGGCCTCTGATGACGAGGAGCACAGATGTATCTAAAGTCCCAGAATCCTCTCGTTCTGCAGTTCTCACAACTCTGACCCTTGTTATGGACCCATTTAGAAGGATCTATGATCAAAAAGTGTCTTTTAGTGAAGTGATGAAATACAAACGTGATAATTAAGTGAATCCAAGATGTGGAGTTCAGCCAAACCTCGGAGGGCACTTTTTTACTTTAGAATGTTCTGGAGACTGCAGCAAGTCCTAAGTGTGTCTGAAACAGTTTGTTTTGTGTTTTACAATTGTTATTTTTCTGCCTAAGATGTTGCTGCAGTTCAGTGTTCATGGTTTTACACTGGTCCAGACCAGAGCAGAGAGGATTCATGGTTTTACACTGGTCCAGACCAGAGCAGAGAGGATTCATGGTTTTACACTGGTCCAGACCAGAGCAGAGAGGATTCATGGTTTTACACTGGTCCAGACCAGAGCAGAGTCTATTTGATACAGAAATAGATTAAATGACTGGTTTACCTCTTCCTGGTGTGTTTATAGTCCTGTTGGAGACAGACACAGTTAGAGACAAACAGAAACTGGACTAAACTCTGGAAACTTCACATTTGATTATTTCAAACATGCAGAACATAAATTTAGAGTTTGTCCTCATTATTTTTGTTCTGAGAACTGAACTTGAGTTCTAAAAGAAGTAACAATCTGTGAACAAATCAGAAATAATTAGATTTTTTGCTGATGAGAAAGAGCCCAGTCCTTTTCTTTGGACGACCTGAGTTTTAGTCTGATCAAAAACTGACAGAGGCTAAATATAAATACAAATATACTGTTTTGGATTATGATATAAATAACTGGTGTGAGTGTGACCTGCAGGAACAGCAGGTCCTTCTGTCGCACCGAGGCCTCCAGGTCTCGTATGATCTTGGTCAGAGTCTGGATCTGGTTTTGGAGGTCGTGGATCTTCTCGGTCAGGACCCCGGTCTTCACGTCTCGCTCCTGTTTCAGCAGCGAGACCCGGTTCTCCTCCTCCTGCTGAAGGAACGCTCTCAGCTCCTCAAACTCCGCCCTGAGGATCGCCTCGCTCTGCTCCGTCTGGGTCTACAGCAGAGACTACAGTTCAGTCCTGGGTCTACAGCAGAGACTACAGTCTCAGTCCTGGGTCTACAGCAGAGACTACAGCCTCAGTCCTGGGTCTACAGCAGAGACTACAGGTCAGTCCTGGGTCTACAGCAGAGACTACAGGTCAGTCCTGGGTCTACAGTCTCAGTCCTGGGTCTACAGCAGAGACTACAGGTCAGTCCTGGGTCTACAGCAGAGACTACAGCCTCAGTCCTGGGTCTACAGCCTCAGTCCTGGGTCCACAGTCTAAGTCCTGGGTCCACAGTCTAAGTCCTGGGTCCACAGTCTAAGTCCTGGGTCCACAGTCTCAGTCCTGGGTCTACAGTCTCAGTCCTGGGTCTACAGTCTCAGTCCTGGGTCTACAGTCTCAGTCCTGGGTCTACAGTCTCAGTCCTGGGTCTACAGTCTCAGTCCTGGGTCTACAGTCTCAGTCCTGGGTCTACAGTCTCAGTCCTGGGTCTACAGCCTCAGTCCTGGGTCTACAGCCTCAGTCCTGGGTCTACAGCCTCAGTCCTGGGTCTACAGCCTCAGTCCTGGGTCTACAGCCTCAGTCCTACAGCCTGGGTCTCTCTCTCTGGTCTCTCTCTCTGGTCTCGCTCTCTGGTCTCGCTCTCTGGTCTCGCTCTCTCTGGTCTCGCTCTCTCTCTGGTCTCTCTCTCTGGTCTCTCTCTCTCTCTGGTCTCTCTCTCTGGTCTCTCTCTCTCTCTGGTCTCTCTCTCTCTCTGGTCTCTCTCTCTCTCTGGTCTCTCTCTCTGGTCTCTCTCTCTGGTCTCTCTCTCTCTCTGGTCTCTCTCTCTCTGGTCTCTCTCTCTCTGGTCTCTCTCTCTCTGGTCTCTCTCTCTCTGGTCTCTCTCTCTCTCTGGTCTCTCTCTCTCTGGTCTCTCTCTCTGGTCTCTCGCTCTCTGGTCTCTCTCTCTGGTCTCTCTCTGGTCTCTCTCTCTGGTCTCTCTCTCTCTGGTCTCTCTCTCTCTCTGGTCTCTCTGGTCTCTCTCTCTGGTCTCTCTCTGGTCTCTCTCTCTGGTCTCTCTCTCTCTCTGGTCTCTCTGGTCTCTCTCTCTGGTCTCTCTCGCTGGTCTCACCTGGATGTAGTCTTTGGTCTCCTCCCATTCCTCTCGTCTCTTGTTCATCTGTTTCAGTCTTTTCCTCAGAGTCTCCAAACGCTCCGACACTTCTTTCTGAAACGATAATTCAAATAATTATCAACATTTATGGACAATGGTCCAGTGTCTGTGTCTCTGATCTCTCTCTTATCTCTCCTTGGTCTCTCCTTTGGTTCTCTCCCTCCGCTCTCTCTCCTGTGTGCTCTCACCTTCTTCCTCTGTGTGCTCTCACCTTCTTCCTCTGTGTGCTCTCACCTTCTTCCTCTGGTCTCTCTCCTTCAGTGCTCTCACCTTCTCTGTGTGCTCTCACCTTCTTCCTCTGGTCTCTCTCCTTCAGTGCTCTCACCTTCTTCCTCTGGTCTCTCTCCTTCAGTGCTCTCACCTTCTCTGTGTGCTCTCACCTTCTTCCTCTGGTCTCTCTCCTTCAGTGCTCTCACCTTCTCTGTGTGCTCTCACCTTCTTCCTCTGGTCTCTCTCCTTCAGTGCTCTCACCTTCTCTGTGTGCTCTCACCTTCTTCCTCTGGTCTCTCACCTTCTCTGTGTGCTCTCACATTCTTCCTCTGGTCTCTCTCCTTCAGTGCTCATCTTCTTCCTCTGTGTGCTCTCACCTTCTTCCTCTGGTCTCTCTCCTTCAGTGCTCTCACCTTCTCTGTGTGCTCTCACCTTCTTCCTCTGGTCTCTCACCTTCTCTGTGTGCTCTCACATTCTTCCTCTGGTCTCTCTCCTTCAGTGCTCATCTTCTTCCTCTGTGTGCTCTCACCTTCTTCCTCTGTGTGCTCTCACCTTCTTCCTCTGTGTGCTCTCACCTTCTTCCTCTGGTCTCTCTCCTTCAGTGCTCTCACCTTCTCTGTGTGCTCTCACCTTCTTCCTCTGGTCTCTCTCCTTCAGTGCTCTCACCTTCTTCCTCTGGTCTCTCTCCTTCAGTGCTCTCACCTTCTCTGTGTGCTCTCACCTTCTTCCTCTGGTCTCTCTCCTTCAGTGCTCTCACCTTCTTTGTGTGCTTCTCACCTTCTTCCTCTGGTCTCTCTCCTTCAGTGCTCTCACCTTCTCTGTGTGCTCTCACCTTCTTCCTCTGGTCTCTCACCTTCTCTGTGTGCTCTCACATTCTTCCTCTGGTCTCTCTCCTTCAGTGCTCATCTTCTTCCTCTGTGTGCTCTCACCTTCTTCCTCTGGTCTCTCTCCTTCAGTGCTCTCACCTTCTCTGTGTGCTCTCACCTTCTTCCTCTGGTCTCTCACCTTCTCTGTGTGCTCTCACATTCTTCCTCTGGTCTCTCTCCTTCAGTGCTCATCTTCTTCCTCTGTGTGCTCTCACATTCTTCCTCTGGTCTCTCTCCTTCAGTGCTCTCACCTTCTTCCTCTGTGTGCTCTCACCTTCTTCCTCTGGTCTCTCTCCTTGAGTGCTCTCACCTTCTCTGTATGCTCTCACCTTCTTCCTCTGGTCTCTCTCCTTCAGTGCTCTCACCTTCTTCCTCTGTGTGCTCTCACCTTCTTCCTCTGGTCTCTCTCCTTCAGTGCTCTCACCTTCTCTGTGTGCTCTCACCTTCTTCCTCTGGTCTCTCTCCTTCAGTGCTCTCATCTTCTTCCTCTGGTCTCTCTCCTTCAGTGCTCTCATCTTCTTCCTCTGGTCTCTCTCCTTCAGTGCTCTCACCTTCTCTGTGTGCTCTCACCTTCTTCCTCTGGTCTCTCTCCTTCAGTGCTCTCACCTTCTCTGTGTGCTCTCACCTTCTTCCTCTCCGCAGCCTCCTCCAGGCTCAGACACTGGTGGATCCTGTGGAGGTTTCTCTCACACTGGAGGCAGATCACTGGAGGTCTCTCTCCTTCAGTGCTCTCACCTTCTTCCTCTGTGTGCTCTCACCTTCTTCCTCTGGTCTCTCTCCTTGAGTGCCCTCACCTTCTCTGTGTGCTCTCACCTTCTTCCTCTGTGTGCTCTCACCTTCTTCCTCTGGTCTCTCTCCTTCAGTGCTCTCACCTTCTCTGTGTGCTCTCACCTTCTTCCTCTGGTCTCTCTCCTTCAGTGCTCTCATCTTCTTCCTCTGTGTGCTCTCACCTTCTTCCTCTGGTCTCTCTCCTTCAGTGCTCTCACCTTCTCTGTGTGCTCTCACCTTCTTCCTCTCCGCAGCCTCCTCCAGGCTCAGACACTGGTGGATCCTGTGGAGGTTTCTCTCACACTGGAGGCAGATCACTTCTTGGTCGTTTTCACAGAACTTCTCTAGTCTCTGGTTGTGTTCGGGGCAGACTGGAGCCTCCATCTGCAGCTCCACACCACCTTCTCTCCGAGGGTAAAGTCTGGAGAGTCCAAACACCGACTGGATCCAGAGGAACCAGTCGGACCGGTCTAGACTCTCCTCCAATCACAGCTGTTTACACAATACAATACAATACAATTTATTCTTGTATAGCCCTAGGTCACAACAGAAGTCATCTCAGAGGACTTAACAAAACCATTGAAATCACCAACACAGGTCAGAGAATCAACAGTTAAAACACATGAAGAATATAAAGCACACACAGAAGAAAATGTCCATACATGTTGTAGAATGCTAAAGTGTCCTGATCATCACCAATCCTTTCTGTTGGACACTAACTGTCCAACAAGACCCTCCTGCATCGACAAGGAAAAACTCTTAAAAAACCCAGTGGGAAAAAGTGAGAAACCTTGGAGGAGAACTAGGGAAACCCACAGGGAGGGAGACCCATATTTACGCCCTGCTCCTGTGTCAGCTCGTATTCAGATTCACAGATAGAGAATACAAATATAACACACATACAGAACTGTTTTTAACCAGGGACGAAGCCTGTCTCACATTTTCAGGAAGACTGTTCTAGATTTTAGCATGAATCTGAAACGCTGCCTCCTCATGTTTAGTCCTGACTCTGAGACCAGCAGAAAGACAGTCCCTGTGCTCCCCAGAGTCCCAGCAGGAGGCCAGTCCCTGTGCTCCTCACTAACATGTCTCAGATGTACCTTTGGTTTGTTCTAATGTGATGGTACTTCCTGGTTTTCTGTGAAGAGAGCTCTATCAATAAAGGAAGTAAACTCACTGTGGGGTTCCCAGAGGTCTCCCATCCCAGCACTAACCAGACCCTGCCCTGCTTAGAATCTACCTGCAGGTGTCCACAACTTGTCACGACACCCTTTCTTTAAAAAGTAACCGAACAAATTCTAACCACAGATTAGACGTGTCGCTTCATGTCGTCTGTAAAAAGACAAACATTGAAACCAAAAGTTAAAGATTTATTATGCTAAAGTTAGATTTAGACTAGCTTCTTTATTATGCTAAAGTTAGAGATTTAGACTAGCTTCTTTATTATGCTAAAGCTAGAGGTTTTATACTAGCTTCTTTATTATGCTAAAGTTGGCGTTCCAGTCCCAGTTGGAACAGGGCCTTTCTGGATGGAGTTTGCATGTTCTCCCTGTGTCTGTAGGTTTCCTCCAGGTGCTCCGGTTTCCCCTATAAACACGTACAGTAGACTCTGTCCTGAATCTAACTCTCGGAGCTCTAATAAACTCGTCACAATCAGACTTTTACAGAACCTTCTGCCTGTGACACATGTAGCTCCTGAGCACTGATGCAATCCACCTGCTGGGGTTTAGCTCCTGAGCACTGATGCAATCCACCTGCTGGGGTTTAGCTCCTGAGCACTGATGCAATCCACCTGCTGGGGTTTAGCTCCTGAGCACTGATGCAGTCCACCTACTGGGGTTTAGCTCCTGAGCACTGATGCAGTCCACCTACTGGGGTTTAGCTACAGTACAAGAGTGTGTTCACAGTAAAGTGACAATTCAAGCATCTGGACTTTAAAAGGTTATAACTTAAAAACTAAAATTACTTTCATAGATTGGAAGAAAGATTTCAAACACAAACACATTGAAGAGATAGTGTGGAAAAAATCTAAAGGAAAGATTGACATAAAAATGTTTAGCAACATTTTAAACGACCAAATGAGCCTCTGATTGGACCATTCTACTGTGACGCTGGTTACATAGAAAATAAAATGTCCTCAGTCTGAAAAAGCAGAAGATGAACTTCCACAATATTTTCATGGTTAACACAACAGGAGGAAATCACTTGATATTAAAAGGAATCGTGAAAAAATAAAAATAAATTAATTAAATGACCCCTGAAAAATGTATAACGGACGTGATGAGGACGGTCCACTTTTCTCTAAAAATTAAACTTGAGAAAAATTTGGTCTGTTTTCACATTTAATTGGTTGACGATATGAAAGTATCACTTTGCATCTACTTTGTGTAAAAAAGTAGAAAATCTGAATCAAATGTGGACATCTGAAAATACCATCAAACTTCCACAAAGCTCATTCCGTCAAATCATCGTCCGTTACATAAAATAAACAGGGCGCTTTAAGAAACTTGTCTAACGTATAAAACAGTTTTGTTCTAGCAACTTCTAATAGACAGAGGTGTTTGGAAACATTAAAAACATGAAATATCTTCTGATTATTAAAATCTAATTTTTGGCCTTTTGTCACACTTTTGTGCCCTTTAGTGTGAACAAGCCCATAACAGTGCAGTGAGGATCCAGGACACTCCACATTGAAGGACGTTGGTCTCTGTCTCTTTTGGACCAATGTCTCTGTTTTTATCACTGCTTCTTGTGTTTGATTCTCTGATCTGTTGCTGGAGAATCGGCAGCTTTGTAAAAAAAGTCACAGATCAGAGTCACAGCACTTTTCAATCGTTGCTACACTTGTCTCTCGCTTTACAGGAGCTGTCAGGAGGCACCAGAGCTATGGTACATGTTTTAGTGGTAGGGGAAACCGTAGCACCTGGAGGAAACCTACGCCGACACGGGGAGAACACGCAAACTCCACTCAGAAAGACCCTGTTCCGACCCCAGGAGCAAAACAGGAGCTAAACACATCAGATTGAGTTGAAAGAAAGAAACCAGCGGCGTTAGCATAATTACAGTTTATTACCAAACTGATCAAGTCAAATCACAAATAGACCTCTGGAGTTCAGTGATCATTACAAAGATTGTCTAAAAACAGACACATCGCACGGTTCTTTGGACGGAGAGATGGAGCAGAGGTAGTTAACGACACGACTGTACATTAGGACTGTGTGTGACGGAGCAGGAAGTGCAGAGGTTTCAGTTTCACAGATATTTAAAGTCGGCCATGTTGGATCACACACACAAACACAGGGTCAGCTCTGGATCATGCACGGAATCGGGACGGAAGTAAATAAATATAACCAACAGAAGTAAATATAACCAACAGAAGTAAATATAACCAACTGACTAAACTAATAGATCCTAAAGTTAACCAGACACTTCCATAGAATAACCCCAACCCACCCTTAACCCTGACCTTTAACCCTGACCTTAACCCTCTAAACTCATGACTGCCGTTGACGTATTTGTCTGAGACCCTCTATTCCACCGGAGATTACAGGAAAACAAAAATAGCTAGAAACAAACTTATTTTTGCTGATGAAAGAAGACAATCCAGTCTTTCAGAATCTGGTTTCATATTTCAAACAGTCTTAGGAAATAATATTCTGTGGGTCTTGAAAAATCAGTGAAATCCTCAAACGGCAGCAGTCGATGAGTTAAAGGTGCAGTAAGCTATTTTGTTAGCTTAGCCGTAGCACCAACTGGAAACCACTCCCCCCTCCCCTCCCTCTCCACCAAACCACTCCCCCCCTCCCCTCCCTCTCCACCAAACCACTCCCCCCCTCCCCTCCCCTTCCCTCCCCTCTCCACCAAACCACTCCCCCCTCCCCTCCCCTCTCCACCAAACCACTCCCCCCTCCCCTCCCTCTCCACCAAACCACTCCCCCCTCCCCTCTCCACCAAACCACTCCCCCTCCCTCCCTCTCCACCAAACCAAACATCCAGCATTTTCTTTTCTTTGTCACAGGGAGAGTGAAGCAAACGTGAAATTGGCATTTTCTGTTCAGCCATTTTAGGTTTTAGAAAATCCGATAACTCCGGTGCACTATTTTTATCGGTCCGCTCCAAAATATTTGTCATTAATTTTTGTAGACTATAGGCATCTGGTCAATTTCATTACTATTTGAAAACACATGAAAACTTGATACTTTTAGGGTTTAGGGACGTTTTCCCACAATATAAAAAAAAACCTCTAAGGACTTATTAGTCTAAAACTAATTTGAAAGTCCTGATTCCGTATATAATGGTCCAGTGCCGACCATAAACACAGGCTCTACACGCGACAGACAGAAGCTTTAAGATGTGTGTTAGAGTTTACAGCGCACCCCAAATAAATAGGACATGGCGTATATAATCTGTACATTGTTACTATAGTTTAGCACGAGTTTGAAATCTACAAAAATAGATAAATGTGTTTTTTCTCCGAACGCGACAGAGAGAGACGTCTGCAACAGTTCGTCCTCCGCTGGGGTCAAAGTTCTCCGTCCCAGGCCCCAAAACGTCAGCACCAACAGCGGCCGCAGGTGACAGGGCGTGGCCTGCGGAGCTCCACAGGCTCCACAGCGCCCCCACAGGCAGATCCCAGAGTCACACCCTCAGGACTCACACAAACCCGGGTTTTATGGACGACTTGAAACACTTGGGGCAGCCCTTTGTCCCGTTGGTCTCCAGACACCTGCAGCGGGACACAGGGTCTGTCAGGGGTCTCTACACAAAGTCACTATCACAGCAACACACAAAGTCACTATCGCAGCAACACAGCAGTCTCTATCAAAGCAACACACAACAATCACAGCAACACACCAGTCTCTATCACAGCAACACACAACAATCACAGCCACACACAACAATCACAGCAACACACCAGTCTCTCACAGCAACACACAACAATCACAGCAACACACAACAATCACAGCAACACACCAGTCTAAACCAGTCTCTTCACATCATTATTCTTTCACTGCAAACACGGTGGTGATAAACTACTTTAGCCACAGCTGCCCTGGGGCACACTGACAGAAGCGAGGCAACCAGTCTGTGCCATCGGCCCCTCCCACCACCAACCAACCATTCACACACACCAGACTCATTCTAGGCAATGGGGGTGAAGTGTCTTGCCTAAGGACACAACCACAGTTCGGCGGGATCTAGCTTTCACCTGCAGGTGGCGCCAAGAATCCTGTCCCTGTCCCTGTCCCTGTGATACTCACTTCAGGTGGAAGATGTGAGAGCAGGGCAGGGCTTGTAGCTTCTGGTCCCTGTCCCCGATGCTCTCTCCGCACATGCCGCAGTACAGCTCCAGCTCCTCCACACACTGCAGGAACTTCACCACCTGCTCCCGGAGCTCGCTCTGCTGCCCCCTGCTGCGGTGGATGCTCTCACTCAGACAGTGGACCTTCAGGGCACAGAGCTGAGCACAGAGAGGAGCATAGAGAGGGTTACAGAGAGGAGCACAGAGAGGAGCACAGAGAGGAGCACAGAGAGGAGCACAGAGAGGGTTACAGAGAGGAGCACAGAGAGGAGCACAGAGAGGAGCACAGAGAGGGTTACAGAGAGGAGCACAGAGAGGAGCACAGAGAGGAGCACAGAGAGGAGCACAGAGAGGGTTACAGAGAGGGTTACAGAGAGGGTTACAGAGAGGAGCACAGAGAGGAGCCCAGAGAGGAGCCCAGAGAGGAGCCCAGAGAGGAGCACAGAGAGGAGCACAGAGAGGGTTACAGAGAGGAGCCCAGAGAGGAGCCCAGAGAGGAGCACAGAGAGGAGCACAGAGAGGAGCACAGAGAGGAGCACAGAGAGGAGCACCTTGTTTCCGAGGGCGTCTGCCAGCTCCTGCGCTCGCTGCAGAGAATCCAGAGCCTGAAAAACAAACAATATTTAATAATAATAAATACTACAGACTGGATACATTATATATTTAATATAAATTATATATTTAATACAAGACAAGACACTTCCCCCAGCGTCGAGTGTGAGTCCTGTGGTCAGAGGGGCTGATGGCACGGATGAGTAGCCTTATATGCATCAGTCTGCCCCAGGGCAGCTGTGGCTCCTTTAAAAGTTGACCACAGCCTCGTATGGAGTGAATTATGCCATGTCCCTGTGAGTCACTATTTGACTGTTTGGGCTGAAACATTTAACTTTACTTTTCTCTCTCTGGCACAAAAATAAAGTTAATCTGATTAACAGATTAACATTAACAGATGAGGAGAATATTCTGTGGGATGAATGAAAATAAAGATAGTATTTGATGATTAAGGAGGAGTAGAACCTTGTCGTAGTCCTTCTGCAGCAGCCAGCACTTCCCGACTCCCAGGTACACGTGGACTTGTCCCAGACGGTTCCCGATCTCCGTCATGATCCCCAGAGCCGACTCGTACCGAGGGAATGCTTTCTGAGGAACCACCACAACAGACAGATGTTCCTCCTTCTTTTAGACCATAAACACGACACAGACCCTTCACTTTAGTGCTTTGAGAATGTGGAATCATATCTTAGTGGAAAACATATGGTTTGTTTTTTAACTTTTGAGCCTGTTTTATTTGTAAATGTGTCTGGTGCTAATGTTTGTACCTGTAACTCTGTCTGTGGCCACCGGAGGGAGGCGCTGAACATTTGCAAAAGAGAAATGTCTCATTGAAAATACAGCCATGTGATTGTAAAAAAGAGAATGCTCTTTAATGGGCAGAACTTTTGATTTAAAAGTCAGAATCTAAGCCTTTAAGCTTGTTTCCTGTGAGTTCCCTTTGACAAAACACTAACCAACTTTAGAGATTAGTTTGTGTAAAACTGTAGTGATGTCACAGTGAGACTGAGACAGAAGGGGCGGAGCTAGATCTTTGTGACAAAAGCTCTGACATGAGCATGGATGGATCTAAAAGCAGCTCCAGGTCTCAAGATGGACTCACGTCCACGTCTTGTCTGCAGCGGTGGATGTCTGCGAAGTTGAGCAGACACAGCGCCTGTAGGGGGCGATCTCCGTGCTGCAGAGCGATCTTCATGGACTCCTGAAACACAAGGAGGAAGATGAAGATGAAGATGAAGAGATCCTTTGTCAGTGTTGCATCAGCAGTTACAGAAGATTACATTTATTATTTTAAATACATACTATGTGAGTTTTACATCTGTAGATGCTACTGTGCATGTTAGCATGTGATGCAACTGGACATGTTAGCATGTGATGCTACAGTACATGTTAGCATGTGATGCAACTGGACATGTTAGCATGTGATGCTACTGGACATGTTAGCATGTGATGCTACTGGACATGTTAGCATGTGATGCTACTGGACATGTTAGCATGTGATGCTACTGGACATGTTAGCATGTGATGCTACTGGACATGTTAGCATGTGATGCTACTGGACATGTTAGCATGTGATGCTACTGGACATGTTAGCATGTGATGCTACTGGACATGTTAGCATGTGATGCTACTGGACATGTTAGCATGTGATGCTACTGGACATGTTAGCATGTCATGCTACTGGACATGTTAGCATGTCATGCAACTGGACATGTTAGCATGTGATGCTACTGTACATGTTAGCATATGATGCTACTGTACATGTTAGCATGTGATGCTACTGGACATGTTAGCATGTGATGCTACTGGACATGTTAGCATGTGATGCTACTGGACATGTTAGCATGTGATGTTACTGGACATGTTAGCATGTGATGCTACTGGACATGTTAGCATGTCATGCTACTGGACATGTTAGCATGTGATGCTACTGTACATGTTAGCATGTGATGCTACTGTACATGTTAGCATGTGATGCTACTGGACATGTTAGCATGTGATGCTACTGGACATGTTAGCATGTGATGCTACTGGACATGTTAGCATGTGATGCTACTGTAGCTGTTAGCAGCATGAGGCTCTGGGCTAAAGTGACTGTAAAGTGACTGTAAAGTGACAGTAAAGTGACAGTAAAGTGACAGTAAAGTGAATGTAAAGTGACTGTAAAGTGACAGTAAAGTGAATGTAAAGTGACTGTAAAGTGACAGTAAAGTGACAGTAAAGTGACTGTAAAGTGACTGTAAAGTGACTGTAAAGTGACAGTAAAGTGACTGTAAAGTGACTGTAAAGTGACAGTAAATGACTGTAAAGTGACTGTAAAGTGACTGTAAAGTGACTGTAAAGTGACAGTAAAGTGACAGTAAATGACTGTAAAGTGACTGTAAAGTGACAGTAAATGACTGTAAAGTGACAGTAAAGTGACAGTAAAGTGACAGTAAATGACTGTAAAGTGACTGTAAAGTGACAGTAAATGACTGTAAAGTGACAGTAAATGACTGTAAAGTGACAGTAAAGTGACTGTAAAGTGACTGTAAATGACTGTAAAGTGACAGTAAAGTGACAGTAAAGTGAATGTAAAGTGACAGTAAAGTGAATGTAAAGTGACAGTAAATGACTGTAAAGTGACAGTAAAGTGACTGTAAAGTGACTGTAAAGTGACTGTAAAGTGACTGTAAAGTGACTGTAAAGTGACAGTAAATGACTGTAAAGTGACTGTAAAGTGACTGTAAAGTGACAGTAAAGTGACTGTAAAGTGACTGTAAAGTGACTGTAAAGTGACAGTAAATGACTGTAAAGTGACAGTAAATGACTGTAAAGTGACTGTAAAGTGACAGTAAAGTGACAGTAAAGTGACTGTAAAGTGACTGTAAAGTGACTGTAAAGTGACAGTAAAGTGACAGTAAAGTGACAGTAAATGACTGTAAAGTGACAGTAAAGTGACTGTAAAGTGACTGTAAAGTGACAGTAAAGTGACAGTAAATGACTGTAAAGTGACTGTAAAGTGACAGTAAATGACTGTAAAGTGACAGTAAAGTGACAGTAAAGTGACAGTAAATGACTGTAAAGTGACTGTAAAGTGACAGTAAATGACTGTAAAGTGACAGTAAAGTGACAGTAAAGTGACTGTAAATGACTGTAAAGTGACAGTAAAGTGACTGTAAAGTGACTGTAAAGTGACTGTAAAGTGACTGTAAAGTGACAGTAAATGACTGTAAAGTGACTGTAAAGTGACTGTAAAGTGACAGTAAATGACTGTAAAGTGACTGTAAAGTGACTGTAAAGTGACTGTAAAGTGACAGTAAAGTGACAGTAAAGTGACTGTAAAGTGACTGTAAAGTGACTGTAAAGTGACTGTAAAGTGACTGTAAAGTGACTGTAAAGTGACTGTAAAGTGACAGTAAAGTGACTGTAAAGTGACTGTAAAGTGACAGTAAAGTGACAGTAAAGTGAATGTAAAGTGACAGTAAAGTGACTGTAAAGTGACTGTAAAGTGACAGTAAAGTGACTGTAAAGTGACAGTAAAGTGACAGTAAAGTGACTGTAAAGTGACTGTAAAGTGACTGTAAAGTGACAGTAAAGTGACAGTAAAGTGAATGTAAAGTGACAGTAAAGTGAATGTAAAGTGACAGTAAAGTGAATGTAAAGTGACAGTAAAGTGAATGTAAAGTGACAGTAAAGTGACAGTAAAGTGACTGTAAAGTGACTGTAAAGTGACTGTAAAGTGACTGTAAAGTGACTGTAAAGTGACAGTAAAGTGACTGTAAAGTGACTGTAAAGTGACAGTAAAGTGAATGTAAAGTGACAGTAAAGTGACTGTAAAGTGACTGTAAAGTGACAGTAAAGTGACAGTAAAGTGACAGTAAAGTGACTGTAAAGTGACTGTAAAGTGACAGTAAAGTGACAGTAAAGTGACAGTAAAGTGAATGTAAAGTGACAGTAAAGTGAATGTAAAGTGACAGTAAAGTGAATGTAAAGTGACAGTAAAGTGAATGTAAAGTGACAGTAAAGTGAATGTAAAGTGACAGTAAAGTGAATGTAAAGTGACAGTAAAGTGACTGTAAAGTGACTGTAAAGTGACAGTAAAGTGACTGTAAAGTGACAGTAAAGTGACAGTAAAGTGACTGTAAAGTGACTGTAAAGTGACAGTAAAGTGACAGTAAAGTGACAGTAAAGTGAATGTAAAGTGACAGTAAAGTGAATGTAAAGTGACAGTAAAGTGAATGTAAAGTGACAGTAAAGTGAATGTAAAGTGACAGTAAAGTGACAGTAAAGTGACTGTAAAGTGACTGTAAAGTGACTGTAAAGTGACTGTAAAGTGACTGTAAAGTGACTGTAAAGTGACAGTAAAGTGACTGTAAAGTGACTGTAAAGTGACAGTAAAGTGAATGTAAAGTGACAGTAAAGTGACTGTAAAGTGACTGTAAAGTGACAGTAAAGTGACTGTAAAGTGACAGTAAAGTGACAGTAAAGTGACTGTAAAGTGACTGTAAAGTGACAGTAAAGTGACAGTAAAGTGACAGTAAAGTGAATGTAAAGTGACAGTAAAGTGAATGTAAAGTGACAGTAAAGTGAATGTAAAGTGACAGTAAAGTGAATGTAAAGTGACAGTAAAGTGACAGTAAAGTGAATGTAAAGTGACAGTAAAGTGACTGTAAAGTGACTGTAAAGTGACAGTAAAGTGACTGTAAAGTGACTGTAAAGTGAATGTAAAGTGACAGTAAAGTGAATGTAAAGTGACAGTAAAGTGAATGTAAAGTGACAGTAAAGTGAATGTAAAGTGACAGTAAAGTGACAGTAAAGTGACAGTAAAGTGACTGTAAAGTGACTGTAAAGTGACAGTAAAGTGACAGTAAAGTGACAGTAAAGTGAATGTAAAGTGACAGTAAAGTGAATGTAAAGTGACAGTAAAGTGAATGTAAAGTGACAGTAAAGTGAATGTAAAGTGACAGTAAAGTGACAGTAAAGTGACTGTAAAGTGACTGTAAAGTGACTGTAAAGTGACTGTAAAGTGACTGTAAAGTGACTGTAAAGTGACAGTAAAGTGACTGTAAAGTGACTGTAAAGTGACAGTAAAGTGAATGTAAAGTGACAGTAAAGTGACTGTAAAGTGACTGTAAAGTGACAGTAAAGTGACTGTAAAGTGACAGTAAAGTGACAGTAAAGTGACTGTAAAGTGACTGTAAAGTGACAGTAAAGTGACAGTAAAGTGACTGTAAAGTGACTGTAAAGTGACAGTAAAGTGACAGTAAAGTGACAGTAAAGTGAATGTAAAGTGACAGTAAAGTGAATGTAAAGTGACAGTAAAGTGAATGTAAAGTGACAGTAAAGTGAATGTAAAGTGACAGTAAAGTGAATGTAAAGTGACAGTAAAGTGAATGTAAAGTGACAGTAAAGTGAATGTAAAGTGACAGTAAACACATGATGCAGGACATGTGAGGTCATGTGGTAGCCCTCATCAGTCTTCATTGTTCGTTGTACAGTCTGACAGCAGTAAGACCAGCAGACCCTCTCCTCTGTGACACACATGTTGGAGCTGAACTGTAAATGTTGGGAAGGCTCATGTTTCAGGGAAATGCATCCGGCCTAAAGCTGCTCGTGTTAAAGACGGACTTAGAGCAGATAAAAATATGCTCCAGAGTTAATAAAGTGGTTTTAAGTTTTCCTTTTGCCAGAACAACTGCAGCTGCAGCTGTCGCACAACCTCACAACACACAACTCACTACACACACCTCACACACACACACACCTCACACACACACACACACCTCTCACACACACACACCTCACACACACACCTCTCACACACCACACAACACACACCTAACACACACCTCACACACACACCTCTCACACACACACACCTCACACACACACACACACCTCTCACACACACACACCTCACACACACACCTCTCACACACAGCTCACTCACACACCTAACACACACCTCACACACACCTCACACACACCCCTCACACACACACACACACACACACACCACACCTCACACACACACACACCTCACCTCACACACACACACACACCTCACACACAGCTCACTCACACACCTAACACACACCTCACACACACCTCACACACACCCCTCACACACACACACACCTCACACACACACACACCACACCTCACACACACACACACCTCACCTCACACACACACACACCTCACACACACACCTCACACACACACACCTCACACACAGCTCACTCACACACCTAACACACACCTCACACACACCTCACACACACCCCTCACACACACACACCTCACACACACACACACCACACCACACACACACACCACACCTCACCTCACACACACCTCACACACACACACCTCACACACAGCTCACTCACACACCTAACACACACCTCACACACACCCCTCACACACACACACACCTCTCACACACACACACCTCACACACACACCTCTCACACACAGCTCACTCACACACCTAACACACACCTCACACACACCCCTCACACACACACACACCTCACACACACACACACCACACCTCACACACACACACACCTCACCTCACACACACACACACCTCACACACACACCTCACAACACTCCATGGCGTCCGGCAGCCGCTGCAGCTTCCTGTAGGCCACAGACATGTGGTACTGGCTCATGGCGCGGTACTTCAGGCTCCAGCTTTTGCCGTAGTCGTTCACCAGCTCCGCCGCTTTACACGGGAAGAACAGGGCCTTCTCATAGTCCTGCACACAACACACACACAGAGTCACACATAGTCCTGCATACACAACACACACACACACACAGAGTCACACATAGTCCTGCATACACAACACACACACACACACAGAGTCACACATAGTCCTGCATATACAACACACAGCGTCACACATATTCCTGCATACACAACACACACACAAAGTCACACATAGTCCTGCACACAGCACACACAAAGTCACACATAGTCCTGCACACACACACAGTGTTGATGGTTCTTTGATGCTGCTCTGTAACTTGGAGAAACGCAGAGAAAACATGTCCAGGTTCGATACAGAAATGACAAAACATGAGGCAGAAGTGCAATAAAAGCCAGGGCACTTTCTATAGCAGCAGCAGCAGCAGCAGCAGCAGCAGCAGCAGTAGCAGTAGTAGTAGTAGTAGTAGTAGTAGCTCGGCGTCTGTCAGAAGCAGTGGTTGCCGTAGTAACAGCAGGAACCATCTCCAGCTGGAGGAACATGCAAACCCCACTCAGAGGACACCGGGATTCAAAACTTCCTGCTAAGAAGCACGATTGCTAACCACTCAGCCACTGTGTCACCGCAGAGAGGAGAGAAGAGAGGAGGAGGGGGAGGAGGAGGAGAGAGAAGAGGATAAGGAGAGAGAGGAGGGAGAGGAGAGAAGATGGAAGAAAGGCCCTGTTCCAACTGGGATTCTCTTGCTGAGAAGCCAGAGTGCTAACCACTCTGCTGAACAAAACAAGATAAAAACAATCACACATGCATTACAATCATAAATAATCACAATATGTTAAAAATCCTTCAGGTGCATTGTCAGAGAAGAAGCCTGTCTCACGTTTTCAGGAAGACTGTTTCTGCTTCAAAACAGCAAAACCTCTCTAGCTCTATCACTGCAAACCAGAAAACCTTGAGTGTCAGACTCTCCTTCATGGGGATCTACAGCCTCAGTCCTGGGACTACGGCCTCAGTCCTGGGTCCACGGCCTCAGTCCTGGGTCCACGGCCTCGGTCCTGGGTCCACGGCCTCAGTCCTGGGTCTACGGCCTCAGTCCTGGGTCTACAGCCTCAGTCCTGGGTCCACAGTCTCAGTCCTGGGTCTTCACAGTGGGTCCAGCCCCCGCAGAGACCATACCTTGAGGTGGATGTAGATGTTGCCCAGGCTGCAGCAGACCCTACACTCCAGCATCTTGTCGTCGTTGTTGTGGGCGTAGCGTAGCGCCTTCTCGTAGCTCTCCAGGGCCTTCTGGAAGACGCTGAGGCCCAGGAAGGCGTTGCCCATGCTCAGACACACCTGGCCGTTGAGCTGCAGACTGACGGTGGTGCCCTGCATGTTGAGGCAGGTCTTACAGTAGGACACGGTCTTCTGGAAGTCGCACAGCTTCTCGTTGCTGCGCGCCAGGTTCAGGTAGCCCTCCGTCAGGTAGTCCGGGTCCTCCATCTCCCGAGCCGTGTCGATCTGCTCCAGGGCGTACTGAGGAACACACCAGCAATGTTACACATGTTTACAGTCCTGGGTCTGCAGCCTCAGTCCTGGGTCTGCAGCCTCAGTCCTGGGTCTACAGCCTCAGTCCTGGGTCTACATCCTCAGTCCACGGTCTACAGCCTCAGTCCTGGGTCTGCAGCCTCAGTCCTGGGTCTGCAGCCTCAGTCCTGGGTCTGCAGCCTCAGTCCTGGGTCTACAGCCTCAGTCCTGGGTCTACAGCCTCAGTCCTGGGTCTACAGCCTCAGTCCTGGGTCTACAGCCTCAGTCCACGGTCTACAGCCTCAGTCCTGGGTCTGCAGCCTCAGTCCTGGGTCTGCAGCCTCAGTCCTGGATCTACAGCCTCAGTCCTGGGTCTACAGCCTCAGTCCACGGTCTACAGCCTCAGTCCACGGTCTGCAGCCTCAGTCCTGGGTCTGCAGCCTCAGTCCTGGGTCTGCAGCCTCAGTCCTGGATCTACAGCCTCAGTCCTGGATCTACAGCCTCAGTCCTGGATCTACAGCCTCAGTCCTGGATCTACGGCCTCAGTCCTGGATCTACGGCCTCAGTCCTGGGTCTACAGGACGAGTCCTAACAACAGAGACATGAAGTCACTGAACGATCACTGCATTTGTCCATTTTGTGAAGGCCATTTCTCCCAAAAAATTAATTTACTTTTTTAATTTATTTCAAAACGGACCATGTACAATTAGAACATACATGTTTCCTTATAATCATTGTACCGGAGTTTTTGCCTTAAGCTAATTTACATCCGTAGTGCCCCAGCAGGAAGAACCCTCCACACACAGGTGGGAACAAAATAACACAAACACACACACCATAAAATACACATGTGTACAGTCAGTAGATACACACAGTCATACATGCATTGCCACACACTTCTGTTCTGAGGACTGTGAGGACAGAACAGAAGAACGTAAATAAAACTGAGATGGGAGGAGATTGAAATCAGGAAGCGGGACTCATGGACCATGAACAGGGACCAGGGGGCCTTCACTTTGGCTCACACTTGGGACTCACTTCTCCAGAGACATTGTGATGTTTATATTGTGGTAGTATTGATTTAAACCCAGAGCCATAAGGATTGACCAATCAGACTCCAGCTGGCCTTAGCAACCGCCTTAGCAACACATCTGCCCCTGTTTTGGCGCTAAGCTAACGCCAATCTCCTAATATAAAACCAAGCAGAACACACACAGACACACAGGCCCCAAACACTCCCTGACCATACAGCTCCCTCCCACTACCACTACTCACTGAGGACATTAGATCATTTATCTCATTTGAACCATACACCTGTAGACCATAGACCCTGTGGACCATAGACCTGTAGACCATACACCTGTAGACCATAGACCCTGTAGACCATAGACCCTGTAGACCATAGACCTGTAGACCATACACTTGTAGACCATAGACCCTGTAGACCATAGACCTGTAGACCATACACCTGTAGACCATACACCTGTAGACCATACACCTGTAGACCATAGACCCTGTCGACCATAGACCTGTAGACCATAGACCCTGTAGACCATAGACCTGTAGACCATACACTTGTAGACCATAGACCCTGTAGACCATAGACCTGTAGACCATAGACCTGTAGACCATAGACCCTGTAGACCATACACTTGTAGACCATAGACCCTGTAGACCATAGACCTGTAGACCATACACCTGTAGACCATAGACCCTGTAGACCATACACCTGTAGACCATAGACCCTGTGGACCATAGACCTGTAGACCATACACCTGTAGACCATAGACCCTGTAGACCATAGACCTGTAGACCATAGACCCTGTAGACCATAGACCTGTAGACCATACACTTGTAGACCATAGACCCTGTAGACCATAGACCTGTAGACCATACACCTGTAGACCATACACCTGTAGACCATACACCTGTAGACCATAGACCTGTACAATACAATACAATGTATTCTTGTATAGCCCTAGGTCACAACAGAACTTAACAAAACCATTGAAATCACCAACACAGGTCAGAGAATCAACAGTTAAAACACATGAAGAATATAAAGCACACACAGAAGAAAATGTCCATACATGTTGTAGAATGCTAAAGTGTCCTGATCATCACCAATCCTTTCTGTTGGACACTAACTGTCCAACAAGACCCTCCTGCATCGACAAGGAACAACTCTTAAAAAACCCAGTGGGAAACAGTGAGAACCCTTGGGTAGAACTAGGGAAACCCACAGGGAGGGAGACCCATTTGAGAAAGGGATCCGCTCCTCCGGACGGACAGGCTAATGATCCAGGACCTACTGGATCATTGGTCTGTAAAGACCATAGACTCTTAGACCATAAACCTACAGACCATAAACCTACAGACCATAGACCTGTAGACCATAGACCATAGACTTGTAGACTATACCCCTGTAGACCATAGACCATAGACTTGTAGACTATACCCCTGTAGACCATAGACCATAGACTTGTAGACTATACCCCTGTAGACCATAGACCATAGACTTGTAAACTATACCCCTGTAGACCATAGACCATAGACTTGTAGACTATACCCCTGTAGACCATAGACCATAGACTTGTAGACCATACACCTGTAGACCATAGACCTGTAGACCATAGACCATAGACTTGTAGACCATAGACCTGTAGACCATACACCTGTAGACCATACACCTGTAGACCATACACCTGTAGACCATACACCTGTAGACCATACACCTGTAGACCATACACCTGTAGACCATAGACCTACAGACCATAGGCTCTTAGACCACAGACTGAGACAGACCATAGACCTGTAGACCATAGACCTGTAGACCATAGACCTACAGACCATAGACTGTAGACCATAGATAAGATTATAGTTCCTTTATTCGTCCCACAGTGGGGAAATGTCGATGTTGCGCACAGACAGAACATTAGTAAGAGCACACACAAAATACAAATAGTAGCTATGTTTCTTAACTAACATAACTAGCTGTAGAAGCTGAAAATGCTTCAATACCAGTCAAAATATGTATATACAGTGCCTTGCGAAAGTATTCGGCCCCCTTGAACCTTTCAACATTTGGCCACATTTCAGGCTTCAAACATAAAGATATAAAAATTAATTTTTTTGTCATGAATCAACAACAAGTGGGACACAATCGTGAAGTGGAACCAAATTCATTGGATAATTTAAACCTTTTTAACAAATAAAAAACTGAAAAGTGGGGCGTGCAATATTATTCGGCCCATCAGAGATGCAGCCCAGAGGCCCATGATCAGTCTTCTCCTTGTTTGAGATGAAAGTTTGGAGGGACGGCCGGGTCTTGGTAGATTTGCAGTGGTCTGATACTCCTTCCATTTCAATATAATTGCTTGCACAGTGCTCCTTGAGATGTTTAAAGCTTGGGAAATCTTTTTGTATCCAAATACACACAGGTGCATTCTATTTATCATCATCAGTCATTTAGGACAACATTGGATCATTCAAAGATCCTCACTGAACTTCTGGACTGAGTTTGCTGCACTGAAAGTAAAGGGGCCGAATAATATTGCACGCCCCACTTTTCAGTTTTTTATTTGTTAAAAAAGTTTAAATTATCCAATACATTTCGTTCCACTTCACGATTGTGTCCCACTTGTTGTTGATTCATGACAAAAAATAAAATTTTTATATCTTTATGTTTGAAGCCTGAAATGTGGCCAAATGTTGAAAGGTTCAAGGGGGCCGAATACTTTTGCAAGGTACTGTATATATATATATATATTTATGTAGTAGTGCGGAGTTATATACTGTACATATAGGACAGGATAATAAGTAGATGAAGTAAAGTGACATTGTTCTGTGGATATTCTGAAGTTGCAGTATTGCACATGATTTAAGAATTTACTTATTTACAGATGAATGACCTTTACAGGCTCAGCAGTTCTCATTGTACAGTCTGACAGCAGCAGGAAGGAAAGACCTACGGAACCTCTCCTTCACACAGCGAGGGTGAATTAGTCTGTCACTGAAGCTGCTCTCCAGAGCAGAGAGAGTGTCCTGCAGGGGGCGACAGTCATGGTCCAGATGTTAGTTTGTCCAGGACCCTCCTGTCCCCCACCAGGGAACAGCCCAGGACTGAGCTGATGTTCCAGCTTCTTCCTGTCCCTCTCTGTGATGCTGCTGCCCCAGGAGTGGCTCCACAACAGAGTCATAGAAGGTCTTACAGACTATAGACTCTTAGACCACAGACTGTAACAGACCATAGACTGTAACAGACCACAGACTGTAACAGACCACAGACTGTAACAGACCATAGACTGTAACAGACCACAGACTGTAACAGACCACAGACTGTAACAGACCAGACTGTAACAGACCACAGACTGTAACAGACCACAGACTGTAACAGACCACAGACTGTAACAGACCATAGACTGTAACAGACCATAGACTGTAACAGACCATAGACTGTAACAGACCATAGACTGTAACAGACCAAGACTGTAACAGACCACAGACTGTAAACACAGACTGTAACAGACCACAGACTGTAACAGACCACAGACTGTAACAGACCAAGACTGTAACGACTGTAACAGACCACAGACTGTAACAGACCCCAGACTGTAACAGACCAAGACTGTAACAGACCACAGACTGTAACAGACCACAGACTGTAACAGACCAGACTGTAACAGACCACAGACTGTAACAGACCATAGACTGTAACAGACCCAGACTGTAACAGACCAGACTGTAACAGACCATAGACTGTAACAGACCACAGACTGTAACAGACCATAGACTGTAACAGACCATAGACTGTAACAGACCAAGACTGTAACAGACCATAGACTGTAACAGACCATAGACTGTAACAGACCATAGACTGTAACAGACCAAGACTGTAACAGACCACAGACTGTAACAGACCATAGACTGTAACAGACCATAGACTGTAACAGACCACAGACTGTAACAGACCATAGACTGTAACAGACCAGACTGTAACAGACCATAGA